GTAATCAAGTTGAGCTTGGCAGCCCAACTATGAGGTGGTGGTGACGTCATCCCTGTGAAAAGAAAGGAAGCCGAGGTCTACATGCTGAGTACTTGGCCCCCAGCCATGCAGCCAGTGGGTTGAAGGGCCCAGACTAAACAAGGCCCAGCTCTTCTCCCTAGCCATGTGACCCCATGTTGCCTGCTCTTTGGGCTGGATTTGATCTGTGTGTTGTCAGAGAATTAGCTATGGGACGGCACTGGAGGAGTTGGACTTCAGATGCACTTGAGAAGGGAGAAGGATAGAACAGTGATTCCCTTGCTCGGCCAATGCCAGACACATGGATGTTAGCGCTCAGCACAGTATGCCAGTACTGCCATCTCCAGCCCAAGAGTAGGATGCCAGGGCTCAGAGAAGAAATGTTTTCCCCAAGGTCACTCAGCAGCAGCCAACCTAAGATTCAAACCCACTGTTGCTAAGCTTCCATATCCACCTGCCCACCTGGCTGGGGATCTTGGAAGAGCTTTGTGGTAGAGTATCAGGCTATCTCTTGAGGGAACTTTGTCCCCAGAGCTACTGAAGTCTCTGGCCTAGGTGACAGGCAGTGGGACAGGAGTTGAATGGGACAGCTCTAATGCCAAGTATCTATGATTCTGAGAGTGGGGTGGGGCTGGCAGCTCCTGCCCAGGTGCTGTCCTGACCCCACAGTTCAGTCTACACCATCTGTTTCAGGACCGAGGGGCTATGCTTCATGCCCTGCAGGGACGCCAGGAACAGCAAGTGGCTGTGTGCATCCTGGCTTGGGGCAACAATCTAGAGGGGGGCAAGAGCAGGTAGTGAATGGCAGCCATGCTAGCAGGGTGTCAGTACCCTGGCAGCAGTGCCCACACTTCCTATGTAGAGCTGGAGTTTGTGGCCGCAGTCCTGTTTTGTGAGTGTGAGCCCCACTGCTAATAAGAGAGCTCTGAAGTTAGAAGGGCAGGACAGAGGCAGGAAGGAATAAGGAGAGGGTGTGACCATCTTCAGGAAGCAGGAAAGAGGAACGTCCACCTGCGGTAGAATTGGCTCAGTTAGAGTGCAGGCTCAGTTAGGGCAGGGATGGGGAGAAGGTGAGACAGAGGTCACAAAGCTGAAGGGTGTAGCCTCTGGGGTTTTCCATCACAGCCTCTGAGCATTCAGCCTCCATTTCCTGGGATGCTGTACCCTATGCAGCCACAGCCAAGGCCTCTCCTGGCCCAGCTGCTTTCCCTGTGTCAGCGCCTCTGGCAGTAGTCTCCAGCATGCTCCTCCTGCTGCCAGCTGCCACTGGATGCACACAAGAAGCACTCAGTCCCACCAGCGACAGCACCCTCAGCCCAGGCCTGGCTCAGACTTTATCCTGCTGTCTGGAAGCTGCCAGAGCTATGCAAGGAAGGAGGTTTGGGTGCCGTGAAATGTCCTTCCTGTGGCCCCTAGGACCCCTGGCCTGACCATGTCCACTTGTAGCCCTGAAGCATCCCTGTATCACAGTCACATACCCATCCCTTCCCCTGTGTTTCTGTCCTTCACACCACATTCCAGCACCACTTTGTGTCCCAGCAGGATGCTGACCCAGAGGACCCAGAAATATCTCAGGCATCCCTGCCCTAAAAGAGTCCACAGCCCACTGATTATCCCTTCATTGTGCACCTACTGTATGCTGCAAAGCACATCAGCTCACTCAACAGCATCTCTCAGGGCCAGGAGTTACTCTTCCCACTTTACACTTAGATTTAGGAAATCTAAGGCTCGAAGCTAAATGATTTACTGCAGTGACGCAGCAAGGTTTTTGGAGTTCATTGTCTTTCCATCCTCACAACTGAGTGGGACCTGAAGGTCAAGTTGGTGGGTACCACGAATCAGTGCAGGGTACTCAGGGCGGGGTGGAGGAATAAAAAGGTTTCCAAGAGGAGCTAGAGGTTTGGCCTGGGATGGACCCTGAGAAAAAGAAAGGTGAATCCAAACTGGGCCTCAGATAGTCCTATGGAGCCACAAAGGCCAAAGGTCTTTTCAAGAGGGTCAGTTCAGAGCTGCCTCTGGTCAGGATTCCTAGTCTCCCTACCCTTCTCCCACTTGGTGACCCCCATTCACCCATGATGAGCCTTTTGCAAATGAACAAAAATTGCTCCTGTCACTTGAGTGCCATCTGCCGGAATTGTTATTATAAATCTGTGCACAGATAGTAACCATGATGTGACACTTCTTAGTGCAGTGTGGTGTGATACACACCTTGCTTAGGCATACATAATAATCTTACCCTGAGCTCGGGGTGCTGAGCACACATACCCTAAGAAAGCTGCTGCTAGCACTGTGCTGACCGTGAGAGTTGGGGAAGCAGAGATCCCTCTGATGTGGTGGTCAGGCCACATTTCCCAGGAGTAGGGACAGGTTAGCAGGTGAGTGGGAGGGGTGGACACCGGCCTTTTGCTACTGTAATAAACCGTGATGGGACCATGCATGCCACTGGGAGCCTCTTTATCAGTGGAGCTGCTTGCAGGCCACTTCCCCCCATGGTTCCTCAACTTCCCCTTTCTTCCAGCCCCACCATTCAGACTCTTCCTCTGTTCTTAGTGTAAGAACTGCTGCCTCCCTCCTTCTCACCCCCATGCACAGGTTCCGTGTGGCTGTGGCCTCTGGCTTCCAACTCCCAAAATGATAATCCCTGGGTCCCCAGCCCCAGCTCATGGTCAAATTCTGGATGTGGAGTTCCTGGCTCCCTGTTGTGAAAGCCCTTGTCCCTTCCCTGTTATGCCTGGGTGTCTCACCCATTTGGTGAGTCCAATTTGTTACCCTGGCAATTGCCAGAGGCCTTTCATTCTTTTTTTTTGAGACAGGGTCTCACTGTGCAGTTCACACTGCCCTTGAACTCACAATGTAGCCTAGACTGCTTTCTGCCTCAGCCTCCAGAATGCTGGGATTACAGCAGTGCAGCACCACATCTAGCAGAACCTCTCATTCTTGCCTTGTCCTGCCCCACTGTAAGGCTCTGGCCAAGGGAAGATAATGGCCCATGGAGCCCAGGACTCCTGGCTGCTATGGGACCTCCCACATCTAGGATACCTGCACTCTTCCCGGCCACCGGTCAGCACTGCCCGTGTCCTACATCATACCTTGCTGCAGGACATCTTCACATAACCTGCAGCAACTTCTCTCTATTCCTCTTGACCTCCAGCTACTTGTCTGGGAACCCCTCATCCTGGTTGAGTCTCTGCCTCACTGGGCCCTTGCACAACCTTGTCTTCTGGACAGATGACAGAAACCCCATATCTGCTGAGACAATCATTCTTGTGGGCAGGTGGCCATCCAGCATGGTACCTCTGTCCCCGAAGGACCACACACTCCAGAGGGGTGGCCTGTGGTGAAATCCGTGGGTTAACGTACTCATGCCAGAGTAGGAGAAAGGGCATGTCCCCGCCCACCAGTTCATTACCAACTCTTGATTTCCTGTGCCTTCTGGGAATATGGAGCTGCCCAGCTATTTCAATGTGCTGTGTCTACAGGGAGATTGCCCTGTAGAGTTAGTCCTGGAAATGTGGACACTGTGCCAGGCCTGAGAGGTGCAAGAAGAGATGAGTTTGACTCCGGGATGGCCTCAGGGAGAAGGGGCCTCTGCATGGAGGAGGAATTGCCTGAGGGGCCAGATGATGGTGCAAAGGCCCAGGCTTGATGGAGCTGTTTGAGAGCTGCAGGTATGGTGCAGGTGGGGGCTACAAATGCAGAGATTGGGCCAGATCAAAGTGGGCTCTGGGGTCTGCCAAGGAGCTCAGGCCATTGGGAATTCACAGTCATGACGTGACCAGAAGTAAGTCACTGTAGGAGCACAGCTCACTCATTGGGAGACCCAGATAATAAAGTTGCTCTGGAATCTTTCCTGGTAGACTGCAGTAAACATATTGGGAGCACATAAGAATTGGATGAGTTAGGGTCGGGGGTTTAGCTCAGTGGCATAAGCGCCTGCCTTGCAAGCATGCAGTCCTGAGTTTGATCCCTGGTACCAAAAAAAAAAAAGAATTGGATGAGTTGGATGTGGTGGTGCACACCTCTAATCCCAGCACTTGGGAGGCTGAGGCAGGGAAATCACTGTGAGTACAAGGCCAGCCTAGACAACATAGTGACTTCAAAGCTAGCCTGAATTACATAGTGAGACCCTGTCTCAAAAAACAAAAACAAAAAATTGGACATAACAGAAGAGACTCTGTGAAGCACTAGATCTGGGATACAAGACCAGCCAAGTTGGGACTGGGGGTAGTTGAGGAAAGGTGCTGCCTCTGACTTGGCGGTGTGGGCTCGCTCTGTGGCCTGAGCATAGGAGGCAGTTGCACCCCCAAAAGTCCCCACCATTCTCTGATGTCATCCAGGGTTCAGTCCCTCCTGACAGGTACAGGCCTTCCCTGCTCCAAGTCCCTGTTTCTCAACTCCTGACCAACATGGGCTTATGGGCCAAGAGCTAAAACTTGTTCCAGTCTGTGTCCAGGTGGGTCAGACTCAAGTGGCCTCCTCTCCAAGAAACCATTCCCACCTCTAACCTGCTGGGAAGCCTGAGCTTCCAAGAACTGTTGTTTTGCATCTCTGCTTAGGTCCAAGGTGGGCCTTGCTCTGCATGTGACAGTGAGTAGTGGCAGCTAGGCAGAAGGGCAGGGTTGAGTCCCTCTCCTGTGTGCTGGAGAGAAACGGGATGCTTGTGGATGTGCTGCTTCCCAGGCATCCTCCTGAGCACCTGGCTTGTATCATCTCCTTTAGTTCTTGGGACAACCTCAAAGTGTAAGTGCTATTGGATTCATTTCACAGAGGAGAAAACAGGTACAGAGAGGTTGAATAACCTGCCTACATAACTTTTTTTTTTTTTTGATGTTTACATATTGTCGTTTTACAAATAGTTTTCAAAGTACAAGAGTGGAATATGTAAAGTGGGAATTTAAACAGTGAGACTGCAAACAGTTCTGTTCAACTGTCCAACAAAAACTTAGTAACATGGTTGTCAATCATAGGATTAAACATACATGCAGTTGTCCATATCTTCATTTATGTTTAAATTAAACAAACTAAAGCAGGTTAAAATCATTCTGAACAAAGAATAATAGTATTGCTGGATTTCATATCATGACACTATGTGATCAGCACTGGGTACTGTGGTGCCTTTTTTAAAATTTAATTTAAAGAAAGACTAAACAAAACAGAAAATGGGTAGAAATAATACATAATTTCAAAGAAAAAATAAACAATAAGAAATCACTAGTTGATGATTACAGATTGTCTTCTTACAAATAGTTATTCAAGATACTAAAGTGGAGATTCAAACAGTGAGATTGCAACCAGTTCTGTTCAACTATCCAACAAAAACTTAGAAATATGGTTATCAATCCTATATATTTAAATGTACACGCCTGTTATCCATATCTTCAATCATGTTGAGATTGAATAAACCCAAGCAGGCTAATATCACTCTGAACAAAGAATAATACTATTGCTGGGTTTCACATTATGACACTCCAGGATCAGCATTGGGTATTTTAGTGTCTCTTTTTCTTCCAAGTATCTGTTCATTTCATCATGTGTCATAAGATCAGTTCTCATAAAATGTTTATAGATTCTACACATGCATGAGTCTTAACATGTATTTCTATCCTTTCTATATTAGAGAGAGAGAAAAACAAAACAAAGCATGGCAAAACAAAACATATTTCTATAAACACATGAAACGAAATAAACATATAAGACTGTTGTACAAAGAGTTCTACCATGGTTCCTGTGTTGTCTCTTGTTATTGCCAATAGAATTGGCTATATCACCAGACATAGTATAATTGAATATATCAGTACATAACTATTAATAAAAACACAACTTTGTATATAGAACTTCAAACACCAGCAGTTATCAAACCAGAATGTGTATCATAGAGTCTTGTCATCTTCAGTGTAGTTGCTTATACTCTCAGACTTGATACTATCAATCATATCAGTTTTGAATAAAATCTTCTCTGCCTCATTTCTGTTATGCTCTTGTTTGCCATCAGTTGTTTGCTTATTTTCTTCATTCTGTTTTCTGCTTCATTCATTGAGGGCTCTCTGCCACTGTTCCTGGAATCCTAGTACTTTTCTCTCTCTCTAGAATGCCCTACAGTATTCTCTGTAGACTTGGATTGGTGGTTGCAAATTTCCCAAGTTCCTCTTTGTCTTGGAAGCATCTTGTTTCTCCATTAATTTCTAGAGACAGTTTTGCAGGGCATATCAATCCAGGATGGAGGTTATTTTCTTTCAGGGTTTGGAATATTTCACTCCAGGCTCTTCTTGACTTGATGGTTTGTGTTGAGAAGTCTGCCATTATTCTGATGGGCATTCCTCTATAGGTTATGTTTCTTGTCTCTAACAGCTTTTAATATTTTGTTCTTATATTGAATTTCTGGGATCTTGATTATTATATGCCTGGGTGTAGCTCTGTTTTGGTTGTAGGTGGCTGGAGTTCTGTGTGCCTCATATATCAGAATATCATTTCCTTTTCCTATGTTTGGGAAGTTTTCCTTAATTATTTCTGTGAATAACCTTTGTAGTTCCTTTGCTTCTTAGTACCCCTTAGTGCCCCAGCTTTTCATTCACATTCTTTATTCTCAAGTTATAGATCCTTTTGTCATCTTCTAGTCTTTGTATTTTTACTGTTTGTTTCCTTGTTATTTTTAAAAAGTTTTCCCTTTCATACTCCCCCATTGCAAAATTGTCCTCCAGTTTGGATAATCAATCCTTAGTTTTTTTCAAGCTGATTTCAAGGGTACATACTCTTAAACGGGGGAAAGGGACTACATTTCCAGGCAGTCTGGCTGCAGACACCATGTCTAATCTCTCCACAGAGGTGTCTGAACCATGTGGGATGGAAGGGTTCTGAGCAGTAAGAGAATTTTTCCTCCTCATCTTGCTCCTTCCGCTCACAGTCATATCCACTAATGGAGTAAAAGGAGGCTCAGTCCCCACCCTGATGGGAACCATCGTCAGAGTGGGGGAACTAACACACACTGAAAAGGCCTCAGGCTGTAGCTGGAAAAGCACATCTCCGGAGTGGACTCCTGATTCTGTTTCTGGGTTCCCCACTGTTTTGTGACTTGGGCTCTGTGATGTTGGACAAGTTACTTCTCCACTCTGCACCTTAGTTCCTTGTTAGTACAAAAAGGGCAGTATCCCTGCCTGGCAAGTCTGGGGACAAAGAGGGAGAAGGGGGCTGGTTACGGTTGGCAATGACCTGAGCAACATCCCTGACCACCTTGACCCCTCTGGCCCTCTGTTCTTCCAGTGGGAGCGTCTCTGGTTCCTGCTGCTCACCTTCACCTTCGGCCTCACACTCACCTGGCTCTACTTCTGGTGGGATGTCCATAATGACTACGATGAATTCAATTGGTAAGTGGGCCACGGCTCCCCAGCATCCAGGGGACAAGACATGGGGACTCATTTGGCCTCTTCCCCAGGTTGACCAGTGGGGCTCTGCTACTGTCTCTCTCTGCAGCCTGAGCAAGGCCACCCTGAGTTTCTGTCCTACCTGCTCACAGGGTTTAGGAGACTTCTCAGAGGAGTCAGCTTGGGAATGAGCTGTAAAAGATGGCTGAGTTGGACCTGTGGGACCTAGGTCCCCTGTCCCTGAATGTTTGCAAGGTGACTCAGTTCTGCCATGTGGTCTGAAGAGGTAGGCGCAGAAGCGCTGAAGAGATGCAGGAGCATCTCCCTAGTGCTGCACCATGGAAAAGAAGAGTGAGAGATAGGGCTGCACTCAGTAGGACTGGGACTTCTCGCTTACTTTGTAGACCAGAACTCCAAAGCTGGGCATGGTGGCACATTATTGTGAGCTTGAGGCCAGCCTGAACTACATAGCAAAACTGTCTCATAACAAAAAGAAAGCAAAACAAACAAAAAACCTGCAGGACCCAGAAAGACCAAAGCCTTAGCAAAGGAGTGACTCCTAATCGTAAGCCTCCTGGCAGGGCTGGTAGATGCCACAGTCTAGGACAATTCAGCCACTTTATGGGCAGTTTTCCCAGGGTTTTCCCAGCAGGTCCCTGGGACAGGAGGGCATTGTCTCTTTTTTTTCCTTTCCATTGCCTGCCTTTCATTAAACAATGAAAAATCATGGGATGAAGGGAAGGACTATATATGCTAGTGGGAATCCTTCCTTTGACAGCTTTGGAGACTGAGTCCCAGGTCACCCAGCCAGGTGCGAGCAGTTGGAGCTTAGAAGCGAGGCCTGCTCCTCCCTATCCTGTGCTGATCAGAAGTACATCAGTATGCTCTGAGCCTCTCTTTTCCTCTATAAAATGGGATGCTCTGACCTCACCAAGTCATTCTGAGGGGAAAGTGGAATGAGGGACATGGGAGGGCTCAGAGTTGCACCCACGTGGGATGGCTGCTTCGTGGGAGAGCAGGTCTCCAGTGGGAAGGTGGCTATGATAGATGGGTATAGGGTTCCTAGGACTCGAATCCTGATAGAGCATGGTTCCAGATTCTGTGGGAATCCTAAGACTCTGGTCTACAGCATCAGGCTGTGCTGGCATCATTAACAAGCACAGTAAAGATGTCCTGCTGTCCTACTCCTGCTCCATAGCAAAATGAGCTGCAGCCCAGCCAAGTCCCAGAGATGGCTTCTGGTCTTTATTAACTACCATAAATCAATTATTCATTCCTGCAGGTATTCAAAGCTCAGGTACTATTGCTTGTAATGGGAATATTCCTACTGTTTTTCGATGACAGACTCTGGATAGTTCTGCTGAACTGGAAGATAATATGGTACTGATGGGAAAATTGAGACCCAAAAAAGGGACAGGATTCATCCATGGCCATATGTTCAGTCAGAGCCAAAAACGAATATTGAGGTCAATCTGGAAAGAACAAAGCTCAGGGAGGCTGAACAGCTTTCACACAGTCACACAATGAGATGCAGACAGATCTGGGCCAGGGACTTGAGCCTGGCTGAATGTATCGTGTTGTCCACACAGCTACCCCATGCTCCCAGAGGGAGCTCCCTGTCACTGAGAGACTCATCAGAGGACAGGTGCCTGCTTTGTCAGGGAGGCTGCAAGGAAAGGCCTACCTGGGGACCTAGGGATGTCTGGGACCTGTAGCTCTGTGGCCTGTCACCTCAGTTTCCAGAGGACTTAGTCTTGGGATTCAGAAGGGCCTACCTTGGCCTTCATGGTCTCAAGAGCATCTAGGATTAGTCCACACAGTAGAAAGATGTGAGCAAGACCCAGGAGTCATTGGGACGGAGGAAGACAGGGAAGGTGTCTGGCTGTTGCTTTCCTCAAGGGCTCCTTGCTAAAGGAATTGCATTTAAGAGACATTTGGGACCAGGACCAGAGCATCTTTCACAAGTAGTTATAAGTTTTGCTCCTTTGTGGGTTATGGTTTTCCTAACTATGCAGTAAGGTGAGCGCATACTCAGTGATCGTACCCTGGACTCTGAATGTGAGGGCCAGGGTGGGGTAGGTGGGGGGAGGCAGATGCCCCATGGGGTTCTCCTGGTGTCCCCTCCCAAGGCCCAGGACGGTAGCAGGATGATATGGTCCAGTGCTGGCTCTAATTCTTTCATGGCCTTGAGCAAGTCACTGCCCCTTCTGAGCCTCCATCTTCCTAGTGGGAGATGAGTGGTTCTGTCTTTGTGGAGAGCAGCGAAGTGTATCTGCCAGGAGCCTTCAAAAGTTTGTCCCCTTTGAACTCAGTTCTATTTATAGGAATTGTATAACTCTGCTTATAGGGAATCTAGCCTAAGGGAATACTCAGAAATATAAAAAGGTATGTACAGATTTTTCAGTTTCGCATTGTCATAAGAGAATGAATAGAAATATTGAAGCACCATTAATAGGAAATTGATTGCGTAAGGTACATGAAGTCAATATACCACGTGGCTGTTTTTTAAAAGTCACATTTCCTCAGCACTTTTACTGACATCAGTAAAAACTTGTGTTGAGAGTTTCTGGAGTGTGCACCCTGTGCCTTAACCCCTCCCATCCTCTTAAAACCCTCTGAAGGGCATTCTCTTTTTATCCCCATCCTACAGAGGAGGACAGTAGGACAGTGTTACATTTTATCCATCCCAAGACCCTGTGTTTTCACATTTCACACTGAAATCAAGATGAGTGTCATGACCTCATCTTGGATTTGGTGAATCCTGTCACCTCTGCAAGGCCCTGTAAGCCAGTAAGAGGCAGAGTGGGACCCAAGACCAGGGTGAATGTCTCCCCCAAAGCCGTGCTTCTGCCCCCTCTTCTGTGTGCAGTGGGGTCTCAACTTTGTTGTTCACACAACTAGAGTAGGCTTGGGGGACCCATGGGAAGACAACCCAGTGTGGGTCTTGATAGCATTTACTTCTGGGGAATTGTTGGAATTCCAACAACTGTTTTCCAGAATTGTTGTTTTTCTCTTGAAATTTCTTAGACCCCAGGTGTCTGGCTGGCATAGGCAGGACTGATGATGCAGGACTGCTGAGTGCCATTATGGAATGGTCAAAGCCCCAGCCCTGTGCCCAGTCTGTGGTCTGCCTAGCTGCAGCTATGTGAAAGCTGAAACCATCCAGGCTCCTGGACTAGCAAAGTGACCTCAGGGGAGATGTGACCTCTGTTCTTCTCCTCCCGCAGGTACCTCTACAATCGCGTGGGCTACTGGAGTGACTGGTCTGTGCCCATTCTTGTGACCACAGCCACTGCCTTCACATACATTGCAGGCCTCTTGGTATGTGGGGTTGTCCAAGAGGTCAAGTGGCCTTGCTCCTGTGGGGAGGGAAACTTGGCCAATGACAGGCTATTGGAGGGACCTGCGCTGGCCTAAATAGAAAACTAGCATTGGTGTACCTTTTAGGCCTGGGCCCTCCAAGGTGGGAGGTTACCTGTTTTGCCAATCTCCTCAGCAACCTCCTCAGCCCTGCAAGAGGCATCCCAGCTCCTGCGTCCCTCTGCCTATTGCCTCTTCTGGGAGCTCTGCTCCAGATATTCTCCTCATGGAGACTCAGACCCACCCCATTCTAGAATGGTACTCTAGAGCCAGGGATTAGATCTGTTTTAGAATTCCAACACTTGATGAATTAAGCTGGACATTCCAAGTGCAGCAGGTCCAGTGACCTCTTGAGGAACAGATATCAGAGGAGTCCGGAAGCCTGGTATAACCTATAAGGAGGCCAGGCTTAGGCTGGGCTGGAGCAGACTGAGCTGGGCATTCCCATCCCATCACTTCCTGACTCTGTTTTGCATCAGGCTGGGGTCTGACTGCCACTCTGGGACCTCTCCACAGGTGCTGGCACTATGTCACATCGTTGTGGGGCAACAGATGAATCTGCACTGGCTGCACAAGGTAAGGGCTGCTGCTGGGGCTGGAAGCCATGCAGTGGAGAAAGAGCTGGAACTCATCATCCTCCCTAGTCCTGTGGTCCTGTCTGCAGCTGTCCTGGTGGCTTACATTGCACACTTCCTGTGTACTAGACACTGTCCTCACCACTTGACCTGTATTCACTCTTGTCCCTGTCACAGCAGCCATGTGGCATAGGCACTGTTACCATCATGTTTTGTAAAAACTGAGGTACAGAGAGGTTAAGTAACTTGTGCCAGGTCTCCCAGTTTGTCAATGGAAGGTCTGGGATTCTAGCTGCCTACCCACATGCTGAACTGAGACAGTTCACAGCTCATCTTGTAGCCTTGGCTTACTAGGGCCTCACATCTCGCTTTGCCCTTTGTTCTTCAGTGAGCTCTTTATAAAACCCTGATTCAGTCCCATCATTTCCTTAAAGCTTCTTCTCATGGCTCCCAGGGTGACCTGCCCCCCCCCCCAACCCCATTCTCCACCCATTATCTGGTTCTGCCAAGATCTCCCTGCTCCTGTCATGGAAGCGTCACCCTCCACTTCCGCAGAATGAGACATCTCCAGCCCACCCAGTGGGCCTGCTTCTTCTCTGCTTTGAGTCCCTGGCTCTTGTGTGCACTCTCTCTGTGGACTCCTTCCTTGTTGCTCCTCCCCTGTGTCTGCACAACCTTCTCTCCCCAGGCTCCCAGCCCCTGCAGCCTCTCCTGCTATATTTCTGAGCATCTGTGTTTTTAATGTCCAGCTGGCTCCCCAAATGCAGCCTATTCTGGTCTGGTACTCCTCACAGGTTAGAACTGGCCCTGACACTCTCCTGTCCCAGCACCTCCCCAGGGCCAGACCCATGCCCAGAGCAGGCTTTGTACATGGCAATTCCTTACCATACAGTGGTGCTGAGTGTGGGTCTCTAGTGCCTGCTCTCTTTGGTAAGGGGCACAGAGATGGTGCCAATCTGACCATGACAGCACCTCACTCCCAAAAGCACTGAGCCATGGCAGAGGGCTGAGTCATCTGTTCCCAAAGCTGGGCCCAGGGTAGATGTGCCATTTAGGAATGGGCAGAAATGTCCAGAAATGATCATTAGCCCATGAGATGGGGTCAGAGTGACTCCAAAGGAAAGTACTCACTCCAGCCTGAAGTAGGGCAGGCATTAGGAAGAGGAAGAGGGACTGGTGAGCTCAGGCTGGACTGTGTGACAGAGGAGGTGCCCATGAATGGCTGGGGGTACAGGAGACCAGGGCAGGCTTTGAGTCATAGGTCTGGAACTCAGGAGCCAGACCCAGGTGACTAAAGTCTTGCAGGAGGTAAGGAGCAGTAAGCAGCCCCTGGTCTTATCCCACCTTTCTCCTGCTGGGCACTTTACCTTGAGGTCTCCTGTTAACTTCCACACTTCCCTCAGTGAGGTACTTTCTTTTCATGGTTGCAAAGCTGACACTTGAAAGAACTGCACCAGATGGCACTCTAGGTGGGACTAGCACATGCTATGGTCACCTCCTGGGGCCATGCTCAGCTCTCAGCAGGCCAGGTCACACCTGCTTGATCCTATTGGAGGGGCCTGTAGAGCCACTGAGCCAGCCGGAGGTGGTGGATCAATGCAGGGAGTCACATCCCTTCCTCTCCCCACTGCCAGCTCTTGGGGGCCAGGCATGCTTTCCTCTGCTCTAGCACCTCTTGGAGATCTCAGCAGAAAAGCTGACCATAGCAGGAGGGAAGGCTGTCTAGGGCTCTATGAATACCTTACTGAGGACTTGGAAGTTCTATAGTTGCATTCTGTTTCCAAACTTCTGTTACTGTATTCTAAGATACTAAGGAATCTTTATGCTTTGTTTGTCTAATTCATTTTGACCATGTAATACCCTGATAAGGCTCAAAACTCAAAAGACAGAAAAAAAAGTATACACAAAAGCCCCCCTATTGTCTTGAAGCCCATTCAAAAAATATACATAAAACATTTCTTTTCTCTTTAAACACAAACAGCCCAGCCCACCCTGTGCTCTTCCTTCTTAGCAAATGCTTTGGGTCTCTCCTCCTTGCGATACTGAGAGCACCACACAGATGCTATCACTTGCTCCTGCTCCCTGCTCTGGACAGTCCCTGGGTATTGAGGTGTCCGGCTAGTCCCCTGTGGATAACCCCAATCAACAGTCCAGTTGTTTTCAGTCCTTAACCAGAGCAGTGTGGCAGAGACCTTGGAGAGGTGTTTCTGAGTAAAGAACATGTACTTTTATCATTTGGATCTTGCCAAATGGCTTCTCTGTCAACTGTCACCAAGGCACACTCTCTTGGAAATGTGTAGTCGTGCCTATAAAGACTTCCCCATCCATATGACATCAGTTGATGTCTTCACCTTTGGCACTAACGATGGTGTTTCCTCACTATATTTTTAATTTGCATTTCCCTTATGATGAGTTACATTTGGCATTTGGCATAGGACTGAGTCATTTGTATTTTCTTCTTTAGCAACTGTCTCTTCATACCTTTTTGCTGTGGGATTTGCTTTTTGCTTATTAATTTGCAGGCGCTGTTTATAGATTTGGAAATGGGCCTTTTGGCTGATGAACTGAAGGCAGTTTTTTGTCATTCATCTTTTGACTTTGCTTGTTGTATTTGTGGCATAGAGAGTTTAACAAATTACTAAGTTTTTGAATCTCTCACCTCTTTTAATGGCCCCTATTTGTTTTTTTTTTAATCAAACTTGAAAGTCTTTCCCACTCTAAGTTTATATAAAATTTCTCTGTGGCATTACTTGGTAATTATGTTTTTACTTTTTTAACACTGAAATTTTTTATGTTTCTTAGAAGTTATTTTTGGGGTATAGTGTGATCTTTCTTAGTTGCTGGTAGACAACTTCCCAGCGTTCCTAGCTATCTCCACTGAGTAAGCCAGCCTTTCCAGAGATGCCACTTTGATCACATACTATATATTTTAATATATGCAGAGCTATTTCTAAACTTTTTACTTACTGTCATTTATCTCTCTGGTCTCATACCAGTATCATGTCGCTTTGAAGACTGCAGTTTTTGTTGTTGTTTTGTTTTCAGGGGGAGGGGGTGATACTGAGGATCAAATTCACCATCTCAGGCTTGCCAGGCAAGTGCTATGCTGCTGAGCTATATCCCCTGCCCAAAAACTGCAGATTTATGGTCTATTGTAACCATGACCTGTATTTTAAGTCCCTGGTTTCCCTGAGTCCTGAGGAACTGGGCATGGAGAGGCTCAGAGTAGAGGAGCAGGTAGGGAGCCCTCTAGGCTGGGCCTGCGGCTGTGGGTGGGTCTGAGATCTCCACTGGGGACATTCCTCAAACTCCTAATCACGCAAAGCTCCTATCTCCCAGAAATCTACCCCCTTCCCAACCAAAGTAAGCTTCCAGGAGAAGTTCAGAGCCAGGAATGAGGGGGAAATTAAGGCTTTTGGAAGGTAAACAGGAGATCCCACTCAAGTTGTCCCTTCTGGCCACACCCACCACCTAGAATCAGCTCAGATGCCACCTTCTGGGGTTGCTGGTCACAGTTCTCAGCTCCCCGACATCCTGTTGTAATGAAACCAGCCTGAACTGTTCCTGTCATTTCCTGCCTTTCCTGCTACAGAGGCAGCAGTGGCCACTGAAGCATGTGCAGAGGAGGGTCTGTCGGTGGCCCAGCCAGAGGCCAGAGAGGGCCCCAGGACCAGCCAGATTGAACTGGCCTGGTCCTTGTGCCTCCAGGGTGGGCTTGATCCATACCTCTGCCCACTGCCACACTCCGTCCACTTCATCAGCCCTTCTAGTGAACCAAGACTTGGTGACCTGGGGTCCACAGTTCTTCCTGGGTTCCAGGCTCTCTCCCTCCAGCAGCAGTTAAGAAAGGCACAGTCATCGCTCTTCTCCATCCTCTCTGCATGTAACCCTGTTCAGCTGAGGGTGCCTCCATGTAGCAAGCATTTCTTGTTGTTATAGCCTCTGTGCTAAGCACTTTGTGCATTTTTTCATTTACCTTCCCCAAATCCCTTCCAGGTAGGCACTTACTATCCCCACATCCCAGCTTAGGGAAGCTCCCTAGAGAAACTCCCCTCCCCTGTCTGCATGGAGCCAGGTCTGGACCAGGAGGTGGCCAGGTACTCCCAAGAAGCCATCCTGTGTCACTATTGTAAGCCCAGGTTCTAACTGCTGCCTGGTCCCAACCCCCAGGCAAGATGGATGGATGGATGGAAGGAAGGAAGGAAGGAAGGAAGGAAGGAAGATCCCTCTGCCCTCTCTGCCCATCCTATTGCTATCAGAAAACATAGCCCCAGTAGGACAGAAAACCAAATGACCACTAACTCAGAGAAGGACCATGGTCTGTCTCCAGGGCTCTATTGTGGGGTTCATCCTCCTCGGTCAGATATAGGAAACAACAGGGGCACGTTGCTGCAAGTCAATGCTATCACCACCAAGTCAATGCTATCACTGTGGTTTCTTGACACAGTGGAGGAAGGAAATCCCACACTGAACATTCAGTGGTGCCGCTTAGCACTATGGTTACCACTGCAGCAACTATAAAACTCAGAGGCAATGAAATTTTAATTGTATTAGGTTTGTGAGGAATTGGTTTTACTGCAAGTATTTCCCCTGGCAGTTATGCACTCAGAAGCGACCCTTCAGGGATGTCCACAGTCTCTCTGGCCACAGAGGGAAGATGCCTGGAAGGGAAGTGAGAGGAGATGCAGCCTGGAGGAGAAAGGGCTTCTCAGGATTGGGAGGAGCCTGCCAGAGACTCCTGCTTCCCGGAGTGTGGCCTGACCCCTAAGGCAGGCAGAGGCTTTTGGTTTCTAGATCTGCCCCTTCTAATCCACGTAGCCAGGTAATCAGGGCCCATGTTTCTGGGTATAAAATGAAGATGATAGGACCTCATGAGAGCTGTCAGGAGGATACAGCTGACGACCACCCTGAAGTGCCCGCATATATGCCCAGGCACACACACTGCATTGCCTTGTCACGGCCCTTACTTTTCCCAGCCTTGTTAACGGTTTCTTAAGGGGGCCCTTGTTTCCATGCAAATCTCCAAAGGAAAACTTAATCCCAGGCAAGAATTCATCCTTCCTGTACAGAATGGATAGGTATACATGTAGAGATTCACGAAATGTATGGAACTTCTAAACAGTTTACAAGAATAGATTATATAATACATGATGAAATGAACAGATACTCTGAAGAAGAAGAGACACTAAGATACCCAGTGCTAACTCTGTAGCATTATGATATAAAATCTAGCAATACTATTATTCACTGTTCAAAGTGATATTAGTCTATTTTCTTTTGTTTAATTTCAACACACATAAAGAGATGGACAGCTATTTCCAAGAGAACAAGAGACATTATGGCAGCCATTGTTGACTCCCCTACTGTCTGGTCTTCAGATCTAAAATGCCTTCATCACCCTGTTCTGATCAGTTTAGTGCTATACTGTTCGGTATGTATTCACTGTGTGTGAAGATTTGGACAACTGTTTGGAAGAAAGCAAGAGATAATATGATAGACAGTGAAGATCTCCAGTGGTCTTGCTTTGAAATCTGTGTTTCTTAAATTGTTTTCTTATGATCTGTTTTATTCTGTTTTGTTTAATTTTATCCTCTTTAAAATTAAAAAAAGAATCCTAGAAAAGGCGGAGTCCTCAGAACCCCGTCTGTCTGTTTATGGGACAGAAGCTTTCTTTCTCTCAATAAATAGATTCTGCTCTTTTTAAAAAAAAATTAACAGATTGGATTTTGGATATTTTACTTGAAGTCACAACTCTTAAGATTATTCAGCAGACAGGTAGATGACAGTGCCACTGATTTAAGTAGAAACTGCTAGAAAATATCAACAGTATTTTTGTGGATATGTTTAACTCAGTTTAATATGCAATATTTCGGAAACTAGTTGGATTAGAGGAAGTCTGGATCTGTCAAGAGTGTTTCAGGGTTAGATTAAACATTTTATCATAATAGGGGGCAGCGTACAGATGGTATTCAAAAGGATGAGGTTGTGTTGTGTGAAAGGAGAGAAGGTTAGCACTCCCCTTGACAAGGATGGAAGGGACCCTTGGGCCTGACAACATGCATAAAGTTAAGGCACTGCCTCCTACTTCATGGCATCTAACCACTGTTTTTTCTATTTTTTTAAAATTTTCTTTTCTTTGAAAAAAAAAGAATAATATGCACTATAACAACCATTGTTAAATTTCTTTCATTCTGTTTTGAAAACCTATATTATTATTGTTTTGGGTTTGTTGTTTTTGATCTATTTTGCTTTTTGTTTTTCTTTTTTCTTTTTAAAATTAAAAAAAAAAAAAAAAAAAAAAAAAAGAATTCATCCTCCCTGCCTGGTGGGGAACGAAGACAGATAGGCTAATCTCTGCCCTCCTGTTTATAAAGTCTACTCAGCCCCTCGCTTCATTAGTGGAGGCTCTCAGAATGCTGCTGCCGGGAAGAGGCTTTGTGGGAGAGGACGGGGGTGTGAGGCAGCGAGGGGAGCAGTTCCCTGGGGGATGAGTCTGAGAAACCAGAGGGTCCTGTGTGTGGTTTTGGTGGGCCTTCTGAGGAGATGGGGAGGATAGGCAGGCAGATCCAGGACTCCAAGGGGAATGTGCTAGAAGCTGGATAGTAGGAAACCTGAGCTTAATTTTACGAAGAGATTTCAGATGCTATTTCTCCCCAAAGAAATCTATCCCCCTGAAGATTCCTCTGGGTCTTGTCAGAGATGTGCCCCTGGTTTTATGCAGGAGCTGCAGGACGCAGCCCATAACACATCAGAAGCTGCATGCCAGAGGCTGGGATTGGTGAGCCTTGTAGACAGGGCCAGAGGGAAGAGTCCCCCTTCATCCCTTGCTTCTGTGGGAAGTGTACTGGGTGGCCAGGAGATACCACCTTTCCAGCCTCACCTCTTCTACCTTTCCTTCTCTTCAGCTCCATCGCTCCTCTCAGGTTCAGCCTGCCCCTTTGCCTCTGGCTGCCCTCCCCGTCCCTGGCCGTCCTTTAGCCCATGCCAATCTCTTTCCTTCCTCCCTCTACCCTGCTTCATCCACCTTTCCTGCTCCATCTCTCCCTGTGTCTAACTCCTAGACTCCACCTTGTCCTCTCTCTCAGATAGAAGGGCACCCCTCACATCTGCTCTGACCCTTTCTCTCCTGTTTCCCCCTTCCAGATTGGGCTGGTGGTCATCCTGGGCTCCACAGTAGTGGCCATGTCAGCAGTGGCCCAGCTGTGGGAGGACGAGTGGGAGGTGCTGCTGATCTCCCTTCAGGTGAGTAGGGATGGAGGTGGGGAGACCCCAGGACCTCTGCAACAAGCAGTCTTTTATTACTCCTGCCTCTCCACACCAAGGCCTAGAAAGGGGAAGAGAAGGGCCCAAGGCCATACAGCATGTGAGAGGCAGGGAAGATACTACAACCCAGGGTCACTGGATTTCCGGCATCCTCAGCTCATGAATGGAGATGAGGTTACCAGCCTGTGGGGAGGGGTGGACTGTGGGTATGCTGGTGACCTGATTTGGGCAGAGATGGGAGCCCCATGACCTTCCTGAATCCTTCCCTATACAGGGCACATCACCATTCCTACACTTGGGAGGCCTGGCCGCTGTCACGATGCTCTCCTGGATTGTGGCAGGACAGTTTGCCCGTGCAGAGCGGTCCTGTGAGTACCACTGGGTAGGGCCTGCCGTCCTCACCCTGTACTTGGCTTGGATTGCTCCCACTGGGACTTTACCTGGGTGGCTTGGGGATGAGTTCAGCATGGGGTCTGGCTCAGAGTGGCCACAGATGCCACTGAAATTTGCAGCCTCTGCTGGCCTTGAACTAGACTCTTCCTCCGAATGTCCATCTCTGTGTGTGCACACGTGTGTGAACTGAAGACAAATCTGCCTTCCTAGCAAGAGTGGTACAGACCACCCGGCCATCTCATGCTTGTGGTTGGGCCTGGTAGGTGCCAAATGGATCGCAGGAGGTGCTCACAATCCCTGTCTGCAGCCTCTCAGGTGACCATGCTGGGCATCTTCTTCACCGTGGTTTTTGCCCTCTACCTGGTCCCTCTCACCATCTCTTCTCCCTGCATCATGGAGAAAAAGAACCTGGGGCCAAAGCCCGTCCTCATCGGCCATCGTGGGGCGCCCATGGTGAGTGCCACCTGATGATCCTAACAGACAGGGTGGGGTGGGTGCATCTGCCATTCTAGGGGAGGAATCTGTGGGCAACTGGGGATGACATATTATTATAAAAAAAAGAAGAAGAAGAAGGATTGTTAGCTCTCTGGGGAGGTATATGAGAAGGATTGGTGCAAAGGCCTGGAGAGGCTGTATGGAACCAGAGCCTAAAGAACTCTATAGGTGTCCTAAGAAAATGCAGGAGGATTTTAGCCTGACACCAGCTCTTGGGGTAAGCAGACAAGGAGACAGCTGCTGGCTATGGGGTCTGGGGCTGTGACAATCAGATCATGGGCAGGAGGCAATCAGATCATGGTGACCAGTAGCAGGGCAACTGCTCACCCTGTTCTAACACCAAGGTGCCCTGCGTTCTGTGGCAGACAGAGCTGAGGTGGAGGGGACAGGCTGCAGAGTTCTGCTGCCTAGGCAGAGGCAGCCGGGCTTTCATCACTGTGGGGGAACAGGCAGTTGCTATCCTCCCTGTGCCTATTTCCCTCATCCTGTGCCATGGGAAGAGCAAGAGTACCTGCTATAGGGCGTGAGAAGCAAGAGTTAGCACAGGCAAGGTGCCCATGCATAGTACCTCAAAAGCCTCAAACCCTTGCTTCTCAACAGGGGCAGTACCTACCCATCCCCGCCCTCAGGGGATGCTTGGAGACTTCCTGAGAGCTCAGCATCTGTTGGGATTTCCATGGTGCCTAGAGTTCAGGAAGGGCAAGGGCGACACAGAGACACTGCTCTAAAAGCATATGTTTGAGCTCAGAGCTGGGATGTAGCTCAGTGCTTGCTTAGCATTTGTGACGCTCTGGGTTTGATCATTGGCACCAAGCAGGGGTGGAAGGAGGATGTTTCTGATGGGGCTGTAGGTCCTTCTCTATTGCATGAGGGGACATTATTTTCTACATAAGACTCAAAGTCCTCTCATCTTACACTGGACCCTGGTACCCTCCCATCAAACTCCATCTTGGCCCCAGCATCTATCTACCAGTTAGCCAACTGAAATCTGGATTAGGGGTCCACTTTTGCCTGTATGTCTTGGGGAGTCACCAGTGCCCTCTGAGCCTGAGTTTTAGGGACCCCTATGTTGCTGGCTACTGTGAGAACTGAGAGGAAGGGCTTCCCAGGTAGGCAGGGCAACATTGGGGGTGGGCAACCCATCTCACTCTGGAGGCCGGGGACAGCCAGAGCAGGAGAAAGAGCAGAAAGGAGAAGGAATTGGCCCCTGCAAAGACTGTTTTCTTTAGTAGAAAAATTTGAAACATACACAGGAGTGAAAAGAATTCAGCATATTATACCATGAAGCACCATAGAAAGAATGCAATATATCTGCAACATTTATCGACATTTTGCAATTCTTGCTTCCTCGGTCCCCCTACTTTTGTATTTTTCCTGATGTAGAAAAGAAAACCCAAGATTACATATCATTTCATCTTACATGCTTCAGACTGTATCCTTAGCCATGAGTGTTTTCCTCAAAACATGACCACAATGCTGTTATATATACTCACCCACATTAATAATATCTAACATCAAATCTATGTTTAATTTTCTTGTGTTGTCTCAAAAATACCTTTTATAGCTCAGTTGTTGAGTTGTTAAGAATCAGGATCCACACACTGTCTCCACAATGTCTGATTGATGCCTGTTGCTTAAGGATCTTTTAGTTGTCCTCTTTGCTTTTTGTTGAATCAACTGTTTCATTTGTCTGGTAGACTTTCTCATATCATGCATCTGGCTTGTTGCATCTTTATGGCACTTATTTTAGAATTAATTTATTTGCTTAAATATATATAACATATTTATGGACCACAATGTATTTCCACACATGTATTTGATAAATAATGATCAAATCATAGTAATTAGCATTATCTCAGACATTTATCATTTCATTGCACTGGGAACATTCAAAATTCTCTCTTCTCTGAGAAGCCGAGGTAGGAAGGTGGAAAGTTTGAGCCCAGCCTGGGCAACTTAGCATCTTAGTGAGACCTGTCTCCAAATAAAAGAAAGGGCTGAAGGTATAGCTCAGTGTGAAGGACCTGGGTTCAGTTCCCAATACCATACAAAAAATGGTTTTCTTTCTTCTGGCTATTTTGAAATATACAGTAAACTATAGATTACCTTAGTCACCCTTTGTCCATATGACACCACCCATAACTGTTCCTTTTATCTGACTGCAACTTTGCATCTATTCACCAGCCTCTCCCATTCTCCTGCCCCTGCCCTCCCCAGCCTCTGTTAACCTCTGTTCCATTCTTTACTCCTGTAAAGGCGATTCTTTAGCGGAGGCTTTAGAGATGTCATCCCCTTCCTGTGTTCCCGTGAACACACGTCTAGTCCACTCTGTGTGTATCTGCACATGGGTCCCCCAGTGGGTTCCAGGTCTGCAGCAAGTCTGAGACGCATCCTGAGTTGGGGACTGTGTCTGTGGCCCCCGAGTGGGTTGCTCCTATATACACTTTCATATTTAGTGGGACTAAATCCACAGTGGATTGTTATAACCATGGTGTCCCGCTCACTGAGTTCTATCCACATACCTGTGCACAGCCTCCTAACAGCAAAACCCACTGCTTGGACTGCCTGAGATGGATGGGAGCTCTGGGACAGAATTCATCCCAGAACTGCTACGTGTTTCTAGGACCTGCCTAGAACCCTGGAACTGGCAAGGGAGGGCCAGGATTCCACAGCTCTAGAGACCAACACATAACCCAGCCAGACCTTAGCAATGTAGAGAAGCTTCTATAAAAGAGACATTCCCCTCCCAAACACTTTCTCTGCCCCTGAGTCTTTGTAGCCCCTCCATGCTGCTTCCAGGTGGCCTTTTGCAGGTGCCATTCCCATAGGAAGGGGTATTGGCACCTCTTAGAAGTCGCTTGTCAGGGAGATGTGGGAGGTTGGCGTGGGGTCCCACTTCTCTATGGACTCAGATCTCACACTGCTCATTGGACCTGGGGGACAGATGACATATTCCCAAGGCTACTGCGCTCCAGGGAAAGAGAAAGGGGCTCAAGTTTCAGAACCCTTAACTGTGTGCCAGGCTCTGGCATGGGGTCTCTGACACCTGTTTTCTCACCTAGCAAGTAGATAGCCTGAGCCCACTTCACAGCTGAAGAAACTAAGACCAGGTGACCCTGTGGAGAGTGGTTTATTTCTTAGTCAACTTCAAAGCCCTTCCTGGTTCCCAGCTGCTTCCCAGAGGAGGGGGTGTATTGAGCATGAGCAGAGCGAGAGAAGATGGGAATGAAATCAGCCTTTGGACCCCTTCCACCCCATTCTTTCGCTAGTGAGGAGTCCTACTTCTCTATCATATCCAGTTTAGTCCTGGTCTTAACCAATCTCTAGTTCGGTGCTGGCCCCCAGTGGCAGCAGCGAGTATAGCAGTATTCTCAGACCACATGGAACCAAAAGGTAGGCCTCCAACCCGACTGTACTCAGGGAACAGTGAGCACACGTCCCTAAGAGCAGGTGGGCAAACAGGTCCACAGGAGGGAGAGTGCATCCAGGTCTCAAAGCTAGTTAACACAGAGACAAGACTGAACTAGGTTCCTCTGATTCATGAGCCATTTACTACTTTCTCTGAATAGGCACTGTGCTAGGGATTTTTAATCCAGTGACCTCCAGTGGGGAAAGTACTGTCCTGTTGGTATGGATGAGGGCTCTTATCACCCCAGGGAAACTCCATCCCAGTCCCTGCTCCCTCCAGCATCTCCTCCTGGACTGAGCTCAGGATATAACCAAGAGGCACTTGTCTCACTTAGCTCTGCCCAAGGCTTCCATAGAGCCACCAGACTATGCAAAGATTTCCTGCTACCAGGGTCTAGCTCTGATCCTGGGATGTACCAAGGGTGACATAATGGTGATAGTTAGCAAAGATAGCAAGTGCTATCTTTATGTCAGACATTTGTATTTGTCCACACCCTGCCTGCCCCCTGCACCCCTGCCTGCCCCTTCCCCTAAAACCTTTGAGATAGACATGATTTAATGGTTGGGGAAATTGAACTTTAGAGAAGCTCAGTGGGGAAGCAGGGTGAGATAGCTACTTGATGGAGAAGCTGGGGAAGGTTGTCCTTCCAGCATGGACAACCTTCCCCTGGCTGGGGAGGCTATATGCACTGAATGCTGGCCCTCTCCTCCCATACCTGCTCCCTAGCTGGCTCCAGAGCACACTCTGATGTCCTTCCGGAAGGCTCTAGAGCAGAAGCTATATGGGATCCAGGCTGACGTCACCATCAGGTAGGCGTAGGGGAGGACCTAGGTCTCAGTGGGTGGAACTTCCAGTCCTGGAGCTTTGGAGGTGGGATAGTAAAGGTTCAGATCATCCACAACAGGGCAAGTACCCTTTTACACAAATGAATCTTTCACACTGCAGGACAGTGATGGCAAAGCCATGGAACACATGCCACCACTAGGCTCTTTATATTATGGTATTTTTGTTTTAATGCTTGAGTTGTTATCTTTAAACTAAAACCTATGTATTCAGGTTTAATTGCAGTGTTGGCACTTGTGATAAATAAGTGGTTTGGGGGTTGAGGCTTGGACATTTGGTCTCTAAAAGATTCACCCTCACTGCTCTAGGATATAAAATAGAGGCAAGACCAGACTTTGCTTGGTTCATCCTGGGGACCCGGCGCCTCGTCACAGAGGCACTTGAAGGAAGACTAGATCCATGTGTGTCTGCAGGACAGAGCTCAGCCACGTGGATGAGTGAGATAAACAAGTGACAGAGTAGTTGTGATGCTGGTTACGCTTTAAAAGACCACACTAAAGGGATAACACATTTCCTATCTGTATACTTATAAATCTGAATTAGTATAGATGGCAGGAGAAATTCATCCCAATCTCTTATCAGTGGTTATTTCTGGGAAGGAGAGAGGATTGGGGGGGCCATGTATAGTTAATTGCACAGGCTGTGCACAGAATAAGGCCATCACATCATAAAATAAGGGCATAAAACAAGATCACTGTGCCCAGTATAGATGTCATACAATTGTGTGTGTGTGATAGTTTCTAGTGGGTGGTGGGAAGATGCCCTGAGGAATGAGAGTCTTTTACTGTTTCCCACAAAGGCACCGTAAGAGTGACTGGCAGCCCTGGTGGGATAGATAAGAGTGGAAGTAAGGGTAGAACTTGTCAAAGAGACCCGTATCTGCACCATTTTCATCATGGCATCACACAGATCAGGTTCCTAGCCAGATTCCACCACTTACTAGCTATGGACCTTGAGCTAGATACTTCCCTCCCCTAGCCTCAGTTTCCCCACTGCCAAATGAGATGGCATCTAGCCTCCACAGTGGTTAAGATCAGGCCCAGCCTTTTCCCAGTCCTCCCTCTTGGCATCCCTACCCCAACAAAGAACCCCCTACGGGTAAGGAGCCCAAAGCCCAGGGAAGGGTAGGCTACCCAGGCCCTGCAGTAGTGGGGAAGTGTGTGTGAGGGCTGGGCAGGTGAGAGCCCTGGCTGGGTAGTGATGGCAGCTCCTCCCCACAGCCTGGATGGTGTGCCTTTCCTCATGCATGATGCTACCCTGCGACGAACCACCAACGTGGAGCAGGCGTTCCCGGAGCTTGCCCGAAGGCCCGCCTCCATGCTCAACTGGACCGTCCTGCAGAGGCTCAATGCTGGCCAGTGGTTCCTGAAGGTCTGGCTGCACCTGGGCCTGGGCCTGGGCCTGGAGAACATAGCAGGGACCCCAAGCAGTGATATAGGCAGGTGCCCACCAGCTCGGGGGCTCCAACAGGCTGGTTAGTGGCCCCCTTTGGGCTCTGCCACTGCCGCCTGCAGACTTCATTCTGTCACTGCTTGTCCTGGGACTGTCTCCCTCACCAGGAAAGGCGAGTGGAAAGGCTGACAGGAGCTGGGATTAACTGTGATGAGAGGGAGGGGCTTTTATGGTCTGACCTGCTGCTAATGGAAGACCATGCTGGGGTCTGGGAGGCACTCCTGTCGGGTCCTTGTCTCTGGAAGCAGGTATGGGGTAGAGAGGTGAGGGTCAGGAGCTCCTAGGGCCCCACAGGGCCACAAGCATTCACCTGACACACACCAGTGGACACTGGCAGCCCAGGGTCTCCACACCTGGTTGCCAACAAGACATGTGAACACCCCAAAGGGCCAGTGACACAGCATGTGTCCCTGTCTCTGCCAGACGGATCCCTTCTGGACGGCCAGCTCCCTGTCACCCTCCGACCACAGGGAGGCCCAGAACCAATCCATTTGTAGCCTGGATGAGCTGCTGGAGCTGGCTAAGGGCAACGCCACGCTGCTGCTCAACCTGCGGGAACCACCCCGAGACCATCCCTTTCGAAGCAGCTTTATTAATGTCACGCTGGAGACCCTGCTGCGCTCTGGCTTCCCGCAGCACCAGGTGAGCCCAGACTTGAGCCAGCTTCTGCACAAACCTGGCCACATCTGTCAAATAGGGGTAGATGCCCCTTGCCTCCCTGATGCAGTCATGGTGGCAGCCATGAAGAATAAGACAGATCTTTCAGGCTTTAAAGGGCAGGACCAGATTTGGGTTCTCTGATTACTTAGCAGCGTGCTGCCCATATCACAGTGGTGCAGGATTTGGGACCACAGGGACCCAACACCAATCTTGATGCTGGTGGCCACATGCAGAATAAGTTTCCTGGCTCATCTATCCTGTGACAACCATCCAAAAGGAAAGCTTCTTGAATCATTGCCACAACTCTGGCCAAGACAAGCCGTCTTGTGACAGTGATCCCACCTAAGCAGTCAATGTTCACTGTGGGCAAGCCCCCACCCCTTTTAACACTGCACATACCAGTTTTGCGAAAGAGAAACCTAAAGCATACACACACACATCTGCACCCACCCCACCTGCAGGTCATGTGGCTGCCTAACAGGCAGAGGCCCTTCGTGCGGAAGGTGGCTCCTGGCTTCCAACAGACGGCAGGCTCGAAGGAGGCATTGGCCAGCCTGCGGAGAGGCCATATCCAGCGGCTGAACCTGCGCTACACTCAGGTGTCCAGCCAGGAGCTCAGGTGTCTACCTGCTCAGCGCCCCCCAACTCCCAGGGTAGGGAGGGTGGGGTAAGCCTCCTGTCATCCCTGTGCAGGCAGAGGGCAGGGGCACACTGGGGACTCACCTTGAGTATGATTCAAAGATGAGAGATGCCAGCTGGGGTACAGCTGACTTTTCCTGTGAGCCTGGCCCTCTGAGTAAGCCCTTCCTCCAAAGAAGATTGTGAGGATGGCAGAAGACTATGAAGGAAATGCATTCCTTCCTATTCTGGGGAGCAGCCAAAGCCTGGGCCAACCAGCCTCTGTGCCCTGCCCAGGGACTACGCATCCTGGAACCTGAGTGTGAACCTCTACACTGTCAACGCACCGTGGCTCTTCTCCCTGCTTTGGTGCACTGGGGTCCCATCTGTCACCTCTGACAACTCCCACATCTTGTCCCAGGTGCCTTCCCCTCTCTGGATCATGGTGAGTTGGAGACTGTTGAGGGCAGAGAGCACCTGGGGTGGTGGGGAGTGGACAGGGCAGGAAGCTGCCTGTGGCTGCCCCAATCCTTGGTGAGCTCTATGTGCATTGCTTCCTGGGGAGGTCTGGGTGGTGGTGGGGTCATGCTGAGGGTGCAGATTAGGGGCATAAAGATCTTCACAGCCTCTGGGGTTGTACCAAGGTGCTAGAAGGCCCCTGGGCCTGATCCACAGGGAAGAACACATCTCTTAGGAGCCCTTGTCAAGTAAACAGCTGCTTGGAGTTTTTGGTTTGGGATGTTTATATTTTATTTTAAAGGAAAAGAGGATGGTAACAACAGGACAAGACAGGGAATGTCAAAGTCTGCTTGGAGAACAGTGAATCAAACTATGTTTGAACTGGTCAACCAGGCATCTGCAGACAAAGTTCTGGTCTTGTGCAGCCCTGGGCCTCCTTTTTTCCCTGAGGACACGGAAGGCAGACAGAGAACTTGTGTGGCTGAGGTCAGCAGTGTCAGAGAGTCAGATGTGCGTTGTGGATGCTTTCATGGAGGAGGAGAGCAAGTGCAGTGTAGAAGTTCACACTCGGGGAACCCAAGTGAGACTGACAGGAAGGAGAACTTGAGAAAGGCAAAGTCAGGAGTCTCTAAGAGAGAGAAAGAGTGAGCATGTGGGCCATGGGCTTTGGCTGCTGGAATCCGTCACTGCCTGGCTGTTCAGCCCTCGCCTGCCTGTCATTCTTTAAAAACCAGCCAAGTGTCCAGCAGGATGACAGAAAGTAACACACTTGCTGGCAGTGGTGGCAAGCAGGCAGGAGCATTCCACCACAGGACGGAGACTAACAGCAACAAGAGCCCCTTCCTCCCACCCCTGCCAGGCCCGCCTGAGACCAAGGAGGCTAGGACTGCACCTGGGGTTTTGCCCTCCCCATCCTCGGTGTCCACGGAGAGGCACCAAACCCTGGGGTCACTATGCAGTGACATGTACCTCCCCACACAGATGCCACATGCAGCTCTTCACAGGTCACACACCCACCTGCTGGTCATGTCACGCCCTCACATTCAGATACAGCACCCATGTTTCGTCTTTCACCTCTTGCTTGGCACTCACTTAAGCACATAAACCTTCAGGCTTAACACAAGCCTTCCACTGTGTGTGTACACGCATGTGCATGCACACACATGCCCCATTCCTAGGCCCACAGTGCCCAGAGCTCACTCCTGCAAGGTGAAATCTTAGACCCTCAAGCCTTCAGACCCTCCCTTCCCCTTCCTTGATGGTCACATGGGGTCCTCCAGCCCATGGACCCTCTACCTGGAATGGGCCATGACTGGAAGCTGGCCTCGGGCCATCTGTCTACAGCCCCCGGACGAGTACTGTCTCATGTGGGTAACTGCCGACCTGATCTCCTTCACCCTCATCGTTGGCATCTTCGTGTTCCAGAAGTGAGTAAGCTCTGACACTTCCACAGTTTTCCCCACCCTTGGCAGGCCCAGTCCCCACTCCAGCTGGGCAAACCTTCCTCTGAGCCCTAAGCCCTTGGCCAAGACAAGGCCTGATGAGAAGAGAAAGGAGTCCAGGGACCATAGGCCCTCCTCCCTCAGCCACAAGCTTCTGGAGTAAACACCCAGCTGGAAGCCCATAGCCAAGCTCTGGTCCTACACACTGTGTGGACCCTGGCAAATTCTGGCCCCTCTGTGGGAAGAGGTTCCAGGCAGCACTTAGCGCTCCCTGTGCCAGACTAAAATTCTCCCCACCCTCAGCGCAGCAGCTGGGATGTGGTTGTAGAGTGAGAGGGGTGGTCCAGGGGAGGGTTTAGGGCCAGCCTAGGGACCCACCCACCAGGAAGTGAGGGGAGGGGGTTTGATTCTTAACTGACGTTCTTTCTCTGTCCCATCCCACTCTGATCCTGCGCATGTCCCTCTCTCCCCTCCCCCTTTCTGCTGCACTCTGGCATCTCACAGCTATCACTTGATCAGGTAATTCTGGTGTGGTCCTCCTCCTCCTCCTGCTCCTCTTTCTCCCATCTCACCATCCCCTTCTCCAGTTCTGTCTGAAAACCTGCTGTGCACCAAGCCCCGTGCTGGGTCACCCTGGAGGAAAGCCCCCTGGCCTGAAGGTCTGTACTCCTCCTCCCCTTTCAGCCTCCTCTCTGCTCTTCCCATTTTGCTGCCACTCTCTACTTTGTTCCTACTGCAGTTTCCACAGGTGAGCACCAGCGTTTCCTTGACAGGTCCCTGGCCTGGCCTCCCTCAGGAAGAAGGACCCTGGCTGAGCAGCCCAGTCCCTAAGTCCAGCACTCATGGGGGCGCTCCCCACCTGCACGGTGCAGTCCCCAAGTTTCTGGAGCGCACACTCTCTCCCTCTGTTGAGTTCTTGCCTCTTTTTCCTCTTCCATCATCCATCCCTTTCTGTGTCTCTCCTATTTCTTCCCTTTTTCTATTTTTGTCTCTGATTCCCACCCCCTAATCATGCACATCCTTTTCCCCATCCTTTAGGGCTTCCTGTCCCGGATGTGCCTGGCTGACACCTTCCAGCTGGGTTTCAGTGTTAATTTCCTAGATGAGACTTAGACCCAAGTCCCCAAGTCAGCAGCTGCATTGGCCAACTAGTGGCACAGGAACCTGCTCTCCAGTGACTGGATGAGCTTAGTGAAGGGACATTTAGCCATCAGTCCATCCACAGTTGGCAGACATCCACAAGTGCTGCCTGTGGTGCTGGGCCCATCAGATACAACCAGGGCTGTCTGCTGAGGATCAGGAGCAGCTCTTTGGAGGAAGAGACCTGGGAGACAAGTAGGGGGGTCATGTCCCCGCAGGCCTCATTCTTACATTTATTCGCTCAACAAATACATGTCCAGCACATACACCATGGCAGGCACTGAGGTTGGTGCTGGGGCCAGGCAATGACTAGGAGGCAGAATCCCTACCCTCAAGGATTCACAGGGCAGCCAGCCCAGCCAGGACATAGGGGCTTCACCTCAGCATCCTGCTTTTTCCTTGTCTGTTTGCTCTGTCCATCCATCTGTCCATTTCTGCTCTGCTGACCCCATCTAGAAACTCACAGTTGATTCTCTGGAATCTGGGAATCCCATTCTCTACCTGGGGCCGGGGTGGGAATGGTTCCAAGGTGCCCATTTGTTACCCTTGGTGGGACAGGGGTGTGGGAACGACCACCAACTTTCTGCCTTGGCCCTAGGAAAAGTCTTAAGTCCAGAGGCCAGGGATTTGGGGCTAGTTTGGAAGAACTGCAAAACCAATGCCCAAGCTGGGAACCTGAATCCTCACTGCTTTGTCCTGACCCATATGCCCTGTGCATGCCCATCTCCCAGACTATTCCAATTCATTTTATCCCCCTCCCTGCTGCCTTCTCCGACAACATGGGAATTAATGCTTCATCCATCCCACCCCATTAAGGCTGCTAGAATAGAAGAGCAGACAGTCTCACCCCCAAGTCACTCTAACACCCCCGCCTCATGGACTTGTGAGGCTCAGTTCTGAGCACAGCTCCACTGCCACCTGCCTTTGCCTGCTTCCCTTCCCTTCTCCTCGGGGGTTCCCCTCTGGCTCTACCCAGCCTGTCATGGTGGTGAGGCCTCAGGAGCATCAGTGAGGACTTCCAAGATTGGGCCTACCCCAGTACAAGCCATTTGAGTCCTGCCTGCTGAGCTCCATCCTCCTCCAAATTTGTGCCATCCAGCCAGGCATGGTGGCACACACCTGTAATCCCAGCACTTGGAGGCTGATGCAGAAGGATTGCCATGAGTTCGAAGCCAGCTTACTTCATAGCAAGACCCGGTCTCAAACAAACACAAAAACATACACAGATTTGTACATCCAAAGACAGCCATATACAAAACTGGGAACACTTGAGACAGAACTAACCAAGCCATTTTTCTGATTGTGAATTTCGGGCTTTGGTGCTAAACAGGAGACAGGAAAGCCCAGGCTGAGAATCAGTAGACTCAGGTTCCAGTCCCCATTCCGATAGTATCTAGGCTTCAGTTTCCTCATTTATATTGTGGACATAAGTCCTATTGGTCTCTCAGGCCATATCCAGAGAGGTTCTGGAAGTGGCCAGGGTCCCTACTCCAGGAGTGGGTGGGGAAGGACCTGATGCCCACGGGGTCACTTCTACAGGTGGCGCTTGGGTGGCATTCGGAGCTACAATCCTGAGCAGATCATGCTGAGCGCTGCAGTACGCCGAACCAGCCGGGATGTTAGCATCATGAAGGAGAAGCTTATATTCTCAGGTGAGCAGGCCAGGGCAGTCGCAGCCTTAGGGCTCTGCACCCACATACATTCACACACAGTATGTGCAGGTGGGGAATTGACAGCCCTATAGGTTCCACCACGGGGAGACACAGGTACTCATAGAAACGCACCCATATAGAGTCAACTTCAGATCCTGTGGCTTAGTGTCAGTGCCATAGTTGTTGGGCCAGGATGACATGCAGGTGGGAAAGAAATCTGTTTGGAAATCCATCCCCCTTTGCCTGGTCATATACAGATCCCATAAATAATGATTTTCATCCTGCTCATTGCCAGTCCCTGCCAACATTCCTAGTCTGATGCAGGAGCGAGCTGTGGAGACGAGAGCATGGAAAACAGGTGTCCCTAGAATCCTCACCATGGGGTGCTGAGAGTGTGGTCAGACTCCCTGGGGCAGTGAGGAAGGACTAGGGCAATGATGGCTGGGAAGTGGAGGGTGGTAAGAGGTTCCTGGGTAATGGCTGGGGTGTGGGCTTGGCAAAGGAGGGACAGCTGTTCTCAGAGGCAGTGAGGGAACACTGTTAGGGCACTGGAATCACACAGCGTCTACAGGCTGAGTCCACTCCACAGATCTTTCCTGAGCCCCTGCTCCAGCCCAGCACTGGCAGCGTGAGAGCACAGATGTCCTGAAGGTGCTCCATTCAGTGGGGCCAGCACCCACACAGAATGTGACCTAAGCGGAGGTTTCCCTGATGGATGTGGCTTGGGGGAGGCCCATCCCAGGCTGGGAACTGCCATTACAGATGAGAAGACATGACCAGATTTGAGGCCAAGGAGGCATTGATGGGGAGCTCACTCCCAAGAGGGACCAATATATGCAAAGGCCCTTAAAGAGAGTAAACACTGGGAGCCAAGCTCACGGTGTGCACATGGTTTTCTGTGACTGCAAGATAGAGTTTCAAGGGACAAGAGAATGGGCCAGACAGAGGATTCAGCAGAGTCCAAGAAGAGCCTGGAATTCCAGGCCCCATGCCAGCCAGCCAGCGGGTACACCAGTCCCCAATGCCCTGCAGGAGACTGCCCACCCCACCTGTCACCTATCCCAGTGGCCCCATTCTCCCGACTCACGTTCTATTTCCCTTTGGCCTACAGAGATCAGCAATGGTGTGGAGGTCTCGGATGAGTTCTCCATGTGTTCAGACAGCAGTTACGACACATACGCCAACAGCACTGCCACCCCAGGGGGCCCCCAAGGGGGCAGCAGCCAAGCCAAGACTTTCACGGACCGGGTTGGGCATTAGCCGAAGACCTGTCTGGCCCCAGCCTATACCTAATGTAGAAACATGGGGCACCCAGGAGGCTGGCAGAAGTGTGTCTGCCCTTGGAGTGCTCTGGGAGCTGGCTCCACAGCCTCCTTGCAGGCTCCAGGCCCTTTTAGCCATGTCCTCCCTCTTAAGGAATCGCCTGTCCCGAGGCCCAGCTGGGCCAGGACTCCAACCTCCCAGATGCCCCTGCAGGCCTGGGGCTCCTTCTGGGAAGTGCAAAGCCTGGTCCTTCGGGTTCTGTCCTCACGGCCCTCATATTTGCACCTGGAAGCTCTGATGAGTCACTGGGCCATGCCATGTCCCTTGTGGCAGTGGAAGATGTGGATGCTCACCCTTGCACATGTGTCTGCCCACCTACCCATGCCATGAGGCAAACTTCTCTGTTTTATCCTGACCTTGAAGACCTGGGCTGGGCCTTTGCCCCAGCCCCTGGCAGCTCTGCTTCCCACATCAGTCTCAAAGCACAAGGAGGTTCAACCCAGGAGGAAAGCCAGCAGCCATGGTGGAGACAACTCCTCCCTGACCAGCCTCTCAGCACCACTGACTCCTACCCCAGCAGAGGACTCGAGCCATGTCCCCTAAGAGCAGCTGAAGATGGCCAAAAGTGCAGGCCCAGGCTGCTCTGTCTCACACCCAAATATTCAGCAGACCTCTGGGTAGAAGTGGCCCTGGGGCCTAGGAGATCCACAGACTGATAGACCTCAGGTGCCCACATCAGCAGGCACAAGATGGGGCCACCTAGGAAATGTTCTGGGTACAGTCAAGCATGGGCATGTGGCTAAGTTGGCCTGCAATAGAGGAAGCCTGAGGGCCTTAGCCAGAATGATTAAAGCTGCCATCTTGATGTGTGTTGTCTGAATTGTCAGCAGGAAGACGGGGACAGAGCATGTTGCATTTGAGGTTAGTTCTGGCCCCATGATTGGAGAAGAAAATACTCTTAGAACAGACTGGGGCAATGGTTGGATGGCACAGCCTCTACGCTGTGTCAGCCAGGATGCCAGAGGTTCTCTTAACAGTCTAGGGTGCAGAGAACATTCTTGGAGAGGTAAAGTGACTATCCAGGGCCACACAGCATTGATAAAGCCAGGATCCTATCTGGATTCTGACTGTAGCCTCTGCATGTCTTCCATAACCAGCCAGTAACAGCACCGTGGATAGGAAGGGCTCCTGAGTTGATGCAGGACTAACGAACAGGACCAGCAGGTCCTCACAGCCAGCCCAGAGATGCCTATTTCTAGGGCACAGTGGTTGACTTTGTCCCAAAAGCCTGTGTGTCTTGGGTGTGTCCTAAGGGAAAAGCAGGAGGCTAAATATATACCATGCTCCCTGGTAGTGAAGGGTCTGTTTCTTCTCCAAACCAGGGTCCTCTTGATAGAATTCTTGAAGTGCAAGAGATCCCTGACACCTTCTTGGGTGAAAGGCAAAGACTCTTCCAAACATTGGCCCCTCTACAGTCCCACCTTCATTAACCCCTAGGACAGCCCCTTGGGGCTGAGGGCATTCATTCATACTTTCCCTAGCCACTGAACATCTCTCAAGCAGAGGTCAGCTGAAGCCCAGAACTGCTAGGTCAGAATGGGCAGGGGGCAGGCATTGCCCTTTCTGAAATGCCCAAAAGACCTTCCTTCCAGCCCCTGGCAGCCCACACAAGGAAGAGGACAGACCTTTCATGCCAGTGCCTCTCAGTATAACCAGCTGCGCTGGGCCCACCAGCCAGGGTACCCATGGCTCCTGGTCACCCTTGGCAAGCCTGTCACCATCCTCAACTGACTTGCAACCCATGATGTACCCAAGCTCCTTTCCCATGACCTGAGGGATTACTAAAAACCCTTCCTGCTGCCCTCCGAAATGCCCCTGTCTGCAGAGGACAGTACACTGCCCTCGTCACAGAGAAACCCTCCACCCCAGTAAACACTTCCCTCTGTCCTCAGAGGATGAGGCCTTCTGGCTCAGCCCATCTTCTACCTCCTCCAGGTCCCTCCATGACTCCACAGTCCCTCCTGCCCATGAACAGATATGAAGGTGCCCAAATCTCTCACATCCTTTAACAAGCAGCTACACAGAAAACTTTGGATGTAAATTCATTTCTGGAACAAGGCTTGTGGGACAGACAAGCCAGATTTCAGGACACATGTCTAGCCAAGATCACCATGAGCCCTCCCAATAGCTCCTAGAAACTCTGGCCCTGCCTAAGCTTAGCCAGGGCAGGCCCCTACCACACCTGGCTTCCATGAGGGTGACTCCACATGACATGTGGCTTGTACCCACTTTTTTTTTTTTTTTTTTTTTATTAGTACCGGGGATCAAACTCATGACCGCCTGCTTGCAAGGCAGGTGCTTATGCCACTGAGCTAAATCCCAAGCCCCTCCCACTTACTTCTGAATATCTCAGCAACCCAAAGTGATGAACAGGACCAAGGTCCTCATTATCCACCCTGCTAAAATGACAAGATGAAGAGCCAGGCCAACCAGGCTCTTAGCAAGACAACCTCCTCTCCAAAGCATTGCTCCCTTCCATAAGGGTAAATTTCTCACTCATCCATGGTTACCAGGCCCTGTGTCAGCTTCTAGAGGGAGCAAATGATCCAGCACCAGCTCACGGAATACCCTTCTCCAGATCCATGAGGCCAGGCCAGCACAGAGCTCATTCCTCCACCTGACTCATTCTGCTCACACCCTGTCCCACTATGACCCATCCATGGTGCACACCCCTCATGCATACCATACCTCAGACACAAGGCCACAGGCTGTTTGCAGGTATATAGACACCTGTCATATACACATGCATGTAGAGTGCATTAATACACAAGCCATGGAGACATGAAGCCCTGACACAAAATGAACCTAGAGACACAAAAGGACAGGGTTACCCAAAGTCTCAGAATGACATGTCTGTTGTCAAGCAGGAACACGAACACGGGCACAGACACAGCAGCCCAACAGGGGCAGAACGAGGGAAACCTCTATCCATAACTGTGGCAGTCACCTTTTGGATCCTTTCTCTAGCCTCACAGTGACACAACCACATGTCCACACCACCCCAGTGCTACACAGTCACTATGTCCCATGCAATCTCACATTCACAAGTAGGTATCCTGGGACAGTTAAGCTGAAAACCACCCCATTTACCTAAGGCAGACACAGTCCCACACACTCTGTGTTTCATTTAGGAACAAGGCTAGCACCAGGTCGCCCGCCCCCAGTCCCAAGGGCTGCAGACCGCAGATTTGCATACACAGTCAATCCCACTGTTACTACCGCCCCCTTCCTCATAGAGACTGGTCCAAGAATGGAACAAAAGCCCAGCGTCCACCCCTCCCCCTCCCTTTCCCTCTTCTCTCCTCCTCCTGGCGTCCAGCCCCTTTGTCCTCTCTCAGTTGAGCCCTAGCGGGAGCCTGGGCAAAGCAGCAGGGACATTGTTAGAGACGGGCTGGGCGGCGCAGGCAGCAGGCACCGACCAAAGCGAAGCAGTTCCTTGAAACACAGCAGAGCTGCGGCGCTGGAGGCCCTGCGAGGGGGCGTGGCCAGGTAAGCGTCAGGTACTTGGGGGCAGGGCTTGGAATGCAGGCTGTAGGCTGTGTGATGTCCGAAAGTCTTAGCGTATAAACATGTGAGTGCTGATGAAAGACAGAAAGGGGTGGGTGACATGTTAAGCCAACATTCACAAGCTGGGTATCTGTCTTCATCATGACCACTGGATTGAGGGCGTTAGGGAGCGTGCTTTATGCAGTTCCACCTGGGAATCCCCTCCCTTCTATGTTGGCACTGGGTGACCTTCAGTCTGGGAATCTGCAGGGAGGAAACTGAGTCTCAGGTCCTTGTCCCTGCATGTCCACAGTTCGAAATGCCTAGAGTTGTAGACAGCACTAGAATAAATAAGTACAGGTACACTTCCCAGGAGAAGTCTCCCTTCTTCCCCACAGGAAGTCCCACCCTGCCCTGCTGCATCTTGGTGAGAGAAGTCCTCTTTATGCTGATGAGATCTCCCCTCTTGCACCTCAGCTCCAAGTGTGGCTGTGTCCTGGGCTGGCCTGAGTCCACAGATGGCCTGTCTCACCTCCCTCCTTAGGTCTGCCTGCTCCTTGAGGACATGCTTCACCGTAGCAGGTGTGGCAGAGTGGCTAGGCATGCAGAGACTGGAGATGGCTGCTGGGTTCAACACCCAACTCCTCTACTTGGCCAAAATTAATTGACCTCCTTGGCTACTGAGGAACTCTTTTATCCTGATGCCGAGACAGGAAATCCGCTGCCCAGGATGACTCACAACAAGTGTCGAGAGCCAGGCTAACACTGGGCAGGATCTGACTTCCAGAGGTCAGAATGAGCTGAGAAGACCAGAATGATATGGAAAGCGCTGAGAAGCAAAATGGAGAAAGAGGCAATGGGCTGAGCTGAGTTGCCCTGGAGTGAATTGCCACATAGAACTCCCTGTCCCCAGAATCCTGAAAACAGAGGCCACAGGTTCATGGGGGCCTAATCCTAACCATCACTGGAACAGCCCTTTAGGGTCTGTGGAATGCTCTACAAACACCTCTTCCTTTGATCCTCCCAGCAAACTTCTGAAAGGCAGCTTCCTCTGTGTACTTGTTTCCACAGAGCAAAGCTTAAGTGTGTGTGACTAAAGATACTTCTCAGGGTTGTAAGGGTCAAATTATGTAAACAAAAAAAAAAAAGCAACCATCACACTTTTGCGGGAGTAAACACAAGGTAAACTTCATTCATGTCATTCACAACTCTGGAGAAGAGGCATTATGTTTCTACTTCAGAGAAGACTAGGGAAGGGGGAAGTGACTTGTCTAGAGGAAGTCACACAGAGCCAAGTGGAGAATCAGAACCTCATTGATCCTTAAGAGGTTGATCCTTTCCACTTTCCTGGAGCAGGAAACATTCTCCTTCCATGTCCTTGCCTTCACCTAGCTAATTCTCCTCATCCTTCTCTATTTGAAGCTCCAATCTTAGGAACCTCTTCCCTGATTCCTCTCCAACTGGGTTTATTGCCCTTTCTATGAGTTCCCCTAATCCTCCATAAAATCCCCCCAACAGGCTGTGAGCCCTGGGAAGCTCTTAAGGACTATGCTTGTCTTGATCACTGCCTGGAACAGAAATGCTGTAAATCACAATTAATATTTAATATCCATTCGACCTTGAATAGATATTGAGCACTTACTATAGCATGGCATGGAGGGGACAGATGAACAGAATACAGTACAGTAGGATAGAATCGGGTTGATTATGGGAAGAACTAAAGGAGATCTGAAAAAGACAGAATAGAGAGGAAGTAATTATTACATGCATGCATGACACAATGGATGCATGTCACACTCCCTATACTGGTACTTTGTGCAGGCTCCAGTAATCTCCCTGCTTTTCTGCTCAAAGCTTTTGAGGTAAACACTTTCTGTGGTTGACCCATGTGGCTCTGTGCTATTAGGAGTCCCTAAATATTACCTAAGCTGTAGTAAACCATGCCTTTATTAGACTCTCCTCAAATTACCCTATTTGAAAGACTACCATCTGTCTCTTGCAGAGATGGATGAAGAATAGCTTAGCAAGCCTGGAGAAAAGAAAAAACCAATACAACTGAAGTAGGTAATTGGGCAGGAAGGTGGTACAGATAAGGCATGCGCTAGAACACAGCAGAAAGCTTTTGGATGGACAAATGGAAGAAACAGTAGGTGAACGAATGCAAACGCAAACTAAATAGGGAATACAGGGAGAGGTGTGCCAGGAGCTACGCCTCCGATCTCCTAAACCAGTCCCGTTAGGTGGATCTCCCGGCGCTATTTGTATTCTCTACCTGGCAGGATGTGGGACGCCCCGGAACCGGAACCGGAGGAGCCAGAGCCAGGCTGCGAGGTGCCGTGCGCGGCGTCCTGCCACGCGCAGCGCGTCCTGCAGACCCTCAACGCTTACCGGCGGAGCGGCACCCTCACCGACGTGGTGCTGCGCGCCGGCGGCCGCGACTTCCCATGCCACCGCGCCGCGCTGAGCGCTGGCAGCGCCTACTTCCGCAGCCTGTTCGCCGCAAGCCGGCCAGAGCGCGGGCTGACTGGACCGCCAGTGGTGACGGTGGCGCCCGAGACGCCCGGCACCGACCAAGCCGGGACTGCGGCTGCGGCGGCGCTCGCCGTGGTGCTCGACTACGTTTACGGCGCGGGCGTGCGACTGCGCGCCGAGGACGAGGCGGCCGCGGTGCTGGCGCTGGCCGAGCGGCTGGGCGTGGCGGGCCTGCGCGGCGTCTGCGCGCGCTTCCTCGAGGGCCGTCTGCGCGTCGCCAACAGCTTGGCGCTGCGGCGCGTGGCCGCCGCCTTCTCGCTCGCCTCGCTGGCCGAGCGCTGCGGCCGCGTGCTGCGCCAGGCCTTCGCCGAGGTGGCGCACCACGCTGACTTTCTGGAGCTGGCCCCGGAGGAGGTGGCGGCGCTGCTGGCCGACCCCGCCCTGGGCGTGGCGCGGGAGGAGGCCGTGTTCGAAGCGGCCATGCGCTGGGTGCGCCACGACGCGCCGGCCCGCCGCGGCCAGCTTAGGCGCCTGCTGGAGCACGTGCGCCTGCCCCTGCTGGCACCGGCTTACTTCCTGGAGAAGGTGGAGGCTGACGAGCTGCTGCAGGCCTGCGGCGAATGCCGGCCCCTGCTGCTCGAGGCCCGCGCCTGCTTCATCCTGGGCCGAGAAGCCAGCGAACTACGGGCCCGGCCACGGAGGTACAGCCGCCCTCCACCAGCCTTACAGTTCTTCAACCACCCAACCATCCCATCACCACCCCTTAATTCTCATAGTCGCACTTCTAGATAAAGTCATCTGTTCAATATTGTGTAAACTTAGTCCTGGGAGACCTTCCTGCCCTGGAGAGAGTATTCCACACCTGACACAGGGTCCCTCTCGCTATTATATATAATTTAAGTGCTTACTCTACGCAGGTGCTAGAGCGAGTGATTTGGATACACGTGCTCTCTGGGAGCTCGCAGACCAGTAAGGGATAAAATCTGCAAGGGGTATTGAAGAGAAATGAGGCTATTATTCCTCTCCTGAATTAGAGACTGCAGACTATGGGTGGAATAGTCCAAATTGATCATCTCCCCACAGAGACACAAAACGAGAGAAACTGTAATGACCACTTATCTCTGACACTAAGCACAGGGCGTAAGACAAAAAAGTATGTATTTATCGAAGAAACTAGGAAACTGGCTAAAAGGTTTAGAAAATCTGGTGAGATCAGAAGCCTGGAGGCTGTAGGGAATGTATGAAGGAATTACTAATTAAGGGATAGCTTTCGGAAATAGATATAGAAGAGATGTAGCAGAATTAGCAATTGGTGATGAAAGTCAGAAAAATGCCATAAATGGGCCTCGGGGTTTAGCTCAGTGGCATAAGTGCCTGCCTTGCACTCGCGGGATCATGCGTTCAATCCCCAGTACCAAAAAATAAGAAAAATGCCAGGAAGAGGTTTGATTTGTCAGATCAAACTGAGCATGGCCAACTGGAGTGGCATGCATCTGTAATCCTAGCTAGTGGGAAGGCTGAGGCAGGAGGATCAAAAGTTCATGGCAGGCTGGTTGATTTAGCAAAATCTTGTCCCAAAATGAAAATTAAAAACAAAAGGGGAGTTAGGGCATGTGTCTTAGTGATAAAGGGCTTGCTCATGAGGACTAAAAAGCGGGAGAAAGCTTGGGTATGATTCTGGGCTAGCCATAATCGGGGAGCCTCGATTTTCACCTCTGTAAAGGGGTAATATGACCTAATAGAATGTTCATAAGGATTAAACTAGGTGATTTTTCTAGGCAAGGCCTTTGTTAGAGGTACATAGGATGCAGTAAGAATTAATGACCTTATAAGTAATCAGAGGGAAGTGGCAGAGTTGGGGGTAGCTGGGCAGGAAGGTGTGGAAGGGCAGAAGGCTGTGGAGGGGCATCAAGATCGTGTACTGTAGTCAGCAAGAGGGTGAGAAAGGATCACAATTATGGTGTGGATCAATGGGCATTGGGTTTATCCTCACATCAGATTCATGGATCTTGCTGAAGTGATCGTGGTCATTGGTGGTTGTGACCGCAAAGGTCTCTTGAAGCTGCCATTCGCCGATGCCTACCACCCAGAGAGCCAGCGCTGGACCTCTCTGCCCAGCCTACCTGGTTACACACGCTCCGAGTTCGCTGCCTGTGCTCTTCGCAATGACATCTACGTTTCTGGTGAGAGTGGGGCTGCAGCAGGAACCCAATGGGATTGACACATTACCGCCAGGCCTAGGGCACTGTTTATTTTTCCCTGCAATCAGGAGATGGGGTGGAGCCTCTGGGAACCCACAGTAATTGGTTGAAGTGGTATGTAGTGCTGCAGAGCCAATCACTGGTGTGGTAGGTAGTATCTTTAGGCAATATCAGTATTGGACTTCAGAAAGTAAAATTCTGGTCTTTAAAGAAAAAAAAGTTCTGGTCTTTGTTCTGACAGACCACGTGGTATCAATCCCTGGTACTGATAAAGAGAAAAAGACAAAAAAAAAAAAAAGACCATGTGGTCTTTAGGAGGTCATTAATCCTCTCGGCTTTCCTATATGAAACGTGGGTATAGTAATCCCAATACTTCATTTTTTAAAATTTTTATTTTTGATTTTTTTAAATTTTATTTTGAATGTAGTAAAAATACGACAGAACAAGACAGAACAAAGCCAATCGAGACAATATAGAGACATTGGTACAGAACTTCAAAGCAGGATACTGGGATAGTAGTACTAGGTACTACAGTATGTCTCATTATCTTCACAATACCAGTCAATTAGGTATACTGAAATCAAACAGAACATTGTAAAACCAATTGAAGGAGAATACTGAATAGTGCAAAACATTCATTACAAAACTTAACAGTGAAAATAATCTTTACCTTCAAACAGAATATAGAAGGAAATCCCCCATATTCGCTATTTATTTTTGATTTTTGAGACAGGGTCTCACTACATAGTTCAGGGTGGCCTTGAACTCACTATGTAGCCCAGTCTGGCCTTGACATAGCAGTGACCCTCCTGCCTCGGCCTACCTAGTGCTAGGATTACAAGTGTGCACCACCTGGCGATAGTAAATCCAATACTTCATGAAGGGGTGGGCAAGGAATGAAATCATGAAGATGGGAGAACTGAAGGATTACTGGTCACTCTGTGTCCCTGCCCCATCCCCACGCAGATCATGGCTTTGTTTTTCTTTAACCCCAGAACATTCCTGATGCTTGTCTGGGGAACCTTTTGCACGTGTATCATAGTAGACAACCCTCAACACAGATACACTTCCTGAGCACAGAACTGCCGTCCCACTGCAAACACCCAACAAAGACTGCTTCCTGAAACTGTCAGCCCTGTCCCTTAAACCCCTTAATTCAGACCTTTCTCCTCTCATTCAGAGCAGTGGCTGGGTCACAGGTACAGAGTCTTACACCGGCCCAGGGAAAATCGTTTGTTCTTAACCCCACCTATGCATCCGAGGCCCGTGTTTCTGGCTTCGGGTGTGCTGGTGATAGCAAAAGGGTTCCGGGCCAACAGCTGCCTCTCTCTCTCTCTAGGAGGCCACATCAACAGCCGGGATGTGTGGATGTTTAGCTCCCATCTGCACACCTGGATCAAGGTAGCCTCGCTGCACAAAGGCAGGTGGAGACACAAGATGGCAGCAGTGCAGGGCCAGGTAGGCACACTCTACAGTCACTGCCCAGGACAGATATGCACAGGTCTATGGCATATCTGTCCTGAGGGCAGTCCCTCTGAGACCCTGTCTATGGAGGAAGTGATCTGAGATCCAAAAAGAGGAGAAGGACTTTCCCAAGATGACATCAGAATGCTAATACTAACAACAGTAGCAATTACTGTCATGGCCTAGTACAACCTAGTAGTGGTTAATGGTATGGGTTCCAGGGTCAAACAGTCTGGGTTTAAATCCTGAGTGCCACTTAGAAAAAAGAATTCTGCCGATAATCTTTGTGAACTATATCCTGAATTCAGCAACACAAAGTGTTTCTTAGAATCGATTAAGTGGGGTAGTAAACCCTTAAAACTATTTGCTGTCAGTAACCATCAGCTTGATGATAGTATTTGCAGATTTAATCCACATTCAGTACCCATTTTAGAAGCCCGCCTTTCTCCCTGGATGAATAGGGGAAGCAGCTGACAGAGATCCTATAGTTGGGCAGAGCCAAGCGGTGGCAATGCAGGGATGCTCCTGTTTGGGTTTGGTTCTGAAGGTAGCATGTCTCCAAAGGAAGGGGCCAAGGAGTTGCCTGTGGTCTGGATTCCCAGTGCCCTGCTCATGTCCTCACCCACAGCTGTTCGCGGTGGGGGGCTTCGATGGCCTGAGGCGCCTGAGCAGTGTGGAGCGCTACGATCCCTTCTCCAACACCTGGGCTGTTACTGCGCCTCTGCTGGAGGCCGTGAGCTCTGCGGCGGTGGCGCCCTGTGTGGGCCAGCTCTTTGTGATCGGGGGCGCAAGGCAGGACGGTGGCAACACCAACAAGGTAGGCGCGGGTCTGGGGGTATGGAAGGAGCACTGGAGGCCGCTGAGAAACAGCGGCGCTCGTTGTATGCCAGGTACAGACTTGAGCCACTTCCGGGGTTTGCTTTTTTTGTTGTTAACTTGTTCTCATCACCAGCGTCCAGGGGTCATCTCCTGGTTTCAGGCAAAGGACTGAGTTCAGAGAAACAGCTTCAGGTTCACACAGTGGGCCAGCAGCCCTTCTGGACTCCCGTGTTTGGGCTGGTGCCATCCATACGGGTGTCACAGATTTAAAATTAAGAGGGGAAGGGGTAGGATTAAAGTTTTTTCTGCATTTTAAAAATGCTTGTTTTTGAAAATTTAGAATGGAAAAAAAAAAAGGTCACCCTATTCTCTCACTAAGGATAACTATATAAACATTTTGGTGCATTACCCTCCAGGATTCTACTTCGTTTTCTATTTTAATTTTATGTTCTTGCTTTTAAAATTGTATTCTACTTTCTATCCTCATTAATAAGCACTTCCCACATATTTAGAACTTCACCACCATCATTTTAGCATCTGTAATATTCCACTGGGTAGACGAACTGTAGTCTACTAATCTGTGGTCAGATAAGCTTTTATGAATAAAAATTAGGAGCTAGTGATGTAGCTCAGTGGTAGAGTTCTTGCTTTACATGCAGGAGGTCCTAGGTTCAGTCCCCAGCACCAAAAAAAAAAAAAAAAATATAATAAATTGAAAGGGTTGCTGGCCCAGACTGGACACTGTAGCCAAAAAAGCCTCAGCCAGAATTAGGGAGCTCCTGCCTCCCCCACCCCTAGAGATTTACCTGTAACCCTATACCCCCACCCTTAGAAACCTGCCCCTGGCCCCAAATCTGTGCCAATGAAATACCTGTGCATCTCTAATGGCCTTAGGGCACTGCCCTAAGCTCAGGCTACTTATATTCCCCCACGCCACATGTCCGAAAGAGAGAGATCGCCAGCCCTGGGGTGGAGATGCCACGCCCTGGGGGGTCTCTCCCCGCATTCCTGAAATAAAGGTTACTTATATTTTATACTTAATCTTTTCAGTTCTATCAGATCTATCATAAATAATAAACATTAATCTTCATAACAGCTCCTTCCTTCTTCCCTGTCTGTGGTTCTGGGACCTAAATTTTTCCCTCAGCTCTCCTTATTCCCTGATCCCGTACCTCCAGCCAACCTTCCTGGAGCTGGAGGGAGCCACCAGTGGTAGGGGACCCCATTTCCCATCATCTCATATCGATTGTTCTGTTGCGGGCCATTCTGGGAGGAGGGCATCTCCAAGGAAATACCTGAGGCAGGCAGCCAAGCAAGGCAAGCACCCCAAAAAGGGTTCAGGGCATCATTGGCACCCACGAGCCCAGAGGCCTGTGGACAGCTGTGGTATCTACATCCCAGCTGGAATGGAGTCGTGACCCCACAGCCCCAGGGAAGAAGAGCACTGACACTGCACACAGCCAGGAACGCATCTTGGTGGGGGGACATTCAGACATCACCTCCATATCCCGGGTCATATCTCTCTCCCAGATTGCTATGATGTGCTCCAATGATTAATTTCATGTGAGGTGACTCTACATCCTCCATCAAAGAAGACTATTCTTGTAGTGGGGAGGGAGGGATAGAAACACCAGGAAAGGATTTAAGATGGGGCAGCATTTGAGCTGGACCTTGAAAACTGAGGAGCCTTTTTACAAAGGGCATCCAGAGGTTGGAAACAAAAAAACAAAAAAACAGAACTAGGTTGAGAGCACTGCAGGGCAGGGACAGTTGGTCTCTCTCTGAGACACTAGCTCAGGCCTGGTAAATACTGGTGGTGTTGTGTTGGATGTCCCAAGAGAAGGAGGTGGCAGGACATGGCAGCAGGCCAGTGGGGGGTCCGGCTTCACCACTACTGCCTTCCTGCCCCCAGGTGCAGTGCTTTGACCCCAAGGAGGACCACTGGAGCCTGCGTTCACCAGCACCCTTCTCACAGCGGTGTCTCGAGGCTGTCTCCTTAGAGGACACCATTTATGTGGTGGGAGGCCTCATGGACAAAATCTTCACCTATGACCCTGGCACAGATGTCTGGGGGGAAGCAGCTGTCCTCCCCAGCCCTGTGGTAAGTGGAGGCTCAGGGTACAGTCCTGGCACTTGTCCATCCAGGACAGTGAACCCACTCAAAGGCCCTTTGTCTTGGAAGCAGTAAGTCTTGCATAAAGACTCCATTCTGGCAGACTTCACATAGTTCTCCAGCTTTGTCTTCAATGATATCTGGCCTTAAGAGAGGTTGGCCCAAGGCCACCAGTTAGGCCGTATTAAGGAAGAACCTAGAATCCCAAGTGCTGTATGCTTGAGTAGGAATTTGTGGTTTCCCCTACCCTAACGTCCACTATCTGGTAGCCTATTGTGCAGTGGATGGGCCTTGCTAAATTTTTCAGCCCCACCCAGTAAGGGAAGAACAGGAAACCCCGGTTCTTGAATCTCTGGTCCCTATAGTTCCTTTCCTTCCCTACTCTGACTCCAGAGAGACTATGTATAGGTGTGGTTGGACTGGAGGTGATCAGTGGACTATTCAGTGATCCTAAGGGCCTGAGGTTTCTGGCTTGAGTCTGAGCTCCTAAGATGATGGTGGGACCATTATTGTTAACTGTATGTTGACAACATTCCAGGCTTTACAGATGCAGCCTTTTAGCTAAGACCAAGTGTAGTCTATTTCGGGCACTGTGAACAATATTTTCCATACTTAACCCCACTGACTGTGATGAGAACCCTATGATGAAGAGGTTGCTATCCTTCATAATTCCAGATGAAGACACTTACAGCCCAGAGCATATGAGTGACTTCTAGGCCATCTGACCATTTATCAAGGGTCAAACTACAGTTTAGCTCAGATCCGTACAATCTCTGCCTCTTTGCTATCCAGACTCCCTGGCTGTAGTCTGTAAGACAAGATTCTGCTGTCTGGTCTGGCCAGGTAGGCCTCACACTGGACCCCAGAATTGATTTGTCTTTCTGTTTGTCCCCTAGGAGAGCTGCGGAATGACTGTGTGTGACGGGAAGGTCCATATCCTTGGTGGGCGGGATGACCATGGGGAAAGCACCAATAGGGTCTTCACCTTTGACCCCAGCAGTGGGCAGGTGGAGGCCCAGCCATCCCTGCAGCGCTGCACCAGTTCCCATGGCTGTGTCACCATCGTCCAGAGCCTGGGCAGGTGACTAAGTCAGGGAGATGCAGAGCCAGGAAGTAGGAAGAACTCAAGCACACCATTCTGTTCCCCTCCTCCTGTTCCCTCCATGCAAATAGCGCCTTAACTTATTGCCCCCTTTTCTTGTAAAAATAAAGTCTTGTTCAAACTTTGGGTCTGTGTTCCACTTTGCCTGGAGAAACAATCCTCAGTGTTTGCTCCCAGCTTTTAATGTTCACAGAGCTCTTCCCTACCATCAGTCTGTGAAGGCTGCTGTAAAAAATGCTTTAGACTGAGTCATTTGTGAACCACAAAAATGTACTTTTTTACAATTCTGGAGTGTGACAGCCCCAAATTAGTGTCTAACAGCTCTACTTTGTGATCGGCACTTTCTTGCTGTGTCCCCCTCTTGCAGAAGAGGGCGAGGCATTTCCCTTTGACCTCTGGTGAGAGTATAAATCTTTTTTTTTTTTTTTTTCCAGTACCAGGGATCAAACTCACGACCTTGTGCTTGCCAGGCAGGCACTTGTGCTGCTGAGCTATATCCCCGGCCCTATGAGTATAAATCTTATTTATGAGGGCTCTGTCCTCATTTCTGAAATGACTTAATCGCTGCCTCACAAAGGCCCACCTCTTTACACTACCACACTGTGCTAGGTTCCAACACACACTTTGGAGGGACACCAACATTCAGCCATAGCACACTCATACCTCACTTACTTCCATAATAGCAATACAGACACTTTCTTTTAAAAACAAGCATTTTATGCAGGGTGGCATGTGATAGAAGCATAAGCCACTAAGAACTCAGCCACTCTGGCTATGTACCTGAACAGCCAGATCTCCAACATCTATGTGGGTAATAAGCCAGAGATGCCATTATAAATATTGGGTATAGCCTCAGGCACTAGGGGCTGTGACAGAACTGTATAGGAAAGGGTGAGTTCAGAAGAAAGGGAACAAAATGCCTGCCCCAGATTCTGAGGTTGAGCCATTCAGGTCTGCCTCTGGCCCGAAGGCTTTGGCCTAGCCCATCTGCAGGCACCCGCTCATTTGCACTCAGATTGCCTTTTGAAGAGCAGTCTCATCTGTTCCTGGCATCTCTCCAACCCAAGGCCAGCACCATGGCCTTCCCCATCTTGCAAAGCCCCAGGGCCCTGTCCACATGGTCTCTCCAGCTGGGGCTGGCCCATCTCAGCCAGGCACAAAGGCCCAAGTCCCAGCTGAGCTACAACCCACCGATTATCCTAGATTAGGGAGCCTGTGACCATCTGGACACAGCTGATAATTACAGCAGGGGGAGGGGGTGAGTGGAGGCCCAACCCCACTGAACCCACCTAGCTCACTCCATGGGTAGCATGCAGGACAAAGCAAATAGGCACCATATTTCCTACATGAGAAAAAGGTGGGGTACATTCAAGGCACGCTTTTCTCAAGGACATGGGCATCTCATCTGGGCTGGACACTTGTGTGTACCAGGCTGACTGCCCCATTTCCCCTCTGCTGACTATCTCAGTCCTCAGTGCTCTTTGGTGGAGATGCTTTTTCTTCCTGCTATCTGCCTTGGCATACCTGATACCCTACATGAGTAGCCCACTCTCATTTTGCCCCTTCCTTATCCACTGCCCCTCGTTACCCAGCATATATAGCCAGAGCTTTCTGTATGACACCTGTAATCTCCCCTGACACTCTGTCTCCTTGAGGCAGGAAAGACATCAGCTTTACCTCTTTGTCCCTCAGTACCTGAAACAAGGCCACTTACTGAATACTCTAAATCAAATTCCCTTATAGGCCACTGCTGTCACATGCCTCTGCCCTCACAAATGAAGAAAAAGACTTAAGAGTTGCAAAGTTCTTTATTTAATGTCAGTAGGATGACAAGCAATGGCATAGCCATGATTCAAACATGGCTCAACCACCTCTAAAGCCTGCAATCTGTTTTGCCTCACCTAGGCTTGGCCAAGTTGATGAATACTATTCAGTCCAGCACAGTTTTTGTAAATGCTGCCCTAGTTTCCACCAGGAGACACCCTGGCCTGGTGAGCTATATCCCTCCCTTAGGGGTCTCCAGCTGGCTATAGGGAGACATAGTTTAACACATTTCCATGACAGGGCTTGACCGGAGCCGCGGGAGACAGGAGACCAAACTCGAGCAGGATCAGCTCTCAAACTTTATTACGTACAGCGAACCGGACCTGACAAGGTCCGCCACCCTCGGTGTTGATTCCTCTTCCGCCGTTGGGGGCAGGAACAACCTCTTATAAGGGGAAGCAGTATCCAATCACAGAGAAGCGCGCCTAACAAGCTGATAGGCTAGCGTCACGGGTAACTGGGCAGATATGACAATTTGGCGGGCTTGTTCAGGCCGGGAAGAACCCGGAAGCAGGAAATGGGCGCCATTCATAGGCGGCTTCCCACATCTCCCCCTTTTTTATTTATTAAAATAGGATGGTCTGTGGGTCCCTCCAAGGTGTCTATGACCTTGTTGCTGTTAGACACCTAGGAGTGGGCCTACCTTGTAGGCCGAGGCATGAGAGAATGTAGAGGTCTATACCCTGCTGTGCATCACCCTGTTTTGTGCATATCCTTGCGCCAGGACCATGCTCAAGGTGAGTGGTTCATTTTTTCGCAGGGCCAGGCTTTTGTGAACCGAACCTGGATGCATATAGACATTCATTCCTGCCTTCCCCCCAACCTTTGAGGCGGATGGCACTGCAGTACCCTTGGTCTCGCATCTCAATGCCAATAATTTGACTCCAGAAGGGACCCCTGGCCTTATAGGCCATGTATATCTGAGTGGAGCCTGTCTTAGGTTGACCGGGAGGGCTTTTCCCGTCTTACCCGTCATTGGCTTGCCCACTCAGCTCTTATAGCTGATGTTCTGCAATGTGAAGGAGATATGCGGCGGCCTGCTGGCCTGATGGGCCACCTGCTGCCATTTGCATGGCTGCCATAGCTGTGATCTTAACCTGCTGCTGAGTTTGTATGAGGTGATCTAACAAGCATTTAATAACCACAAGCCCCACTAGGAAGGCCACGGCAATCAGGATCCAAATAGTCAGGTTGGGCCAGGAGAACCAGGAGGTGACGCGTTCCCACAAACTGGCTATAACACTGCCTAAAGTTGATAAATCGAACCTGACTGGACCTAGTTGGATACCGTCCATATTGTCAAGTTCCTGACCGACTATGAGGGACAAATTGTGAAACTTAGGTAGGTAGGTGTCTTGCAGCCAAGCTGTCATATTTTTAACAGTGTTGGTCAAATTTGTGCGAACAGGGGTGATTAATAGGAACCCACAGAATAGAAAAGGCTCCAAACCAGACATTTTAGTTTGTAGATGGTCTCGGGTGCTGAGCGTCGGTCCCAGAAGGGTCGAGTTGACTTGTGTCCGCGGGCTTATCCTCCTGTGCTTTATCAGGAACTGGTGGGGAGTTTACTGCTCGCGTCAATCTTTCCGGGACCCACAGCGGTTCACAGCCTGGTTCCTGTGGGAAGACACAAACCGCACCTCGGGTCCAGCTAATCACTGGATCCGGGCCCATCCATTGTCCTGTAAGGACATCTTTCCATCTCACCAGCCCTTTGTCAGCCGGGGACGGGTTATTGTGCTCCATGGCAGGGGAATGATTATTGTGATTAAGATTTTAAAAATTTATGGTAAAGAGTGCCAATGATATTCTTCCTTTGGGCGTTAGGCCATGGCCTATTCCCTCCTTTTGTTTTTGTAAGACATCTTTGAGTGTCCGATGGGATCGCTCAATGATGCCTTGTCCTTGGGGGTTGTAAGGAATGCCATGTTTAAGAGTGACTTCCATTTGTTGACAAAATGTCATAAAAATTTTGCTGGTATAGGCAGGACCATTGTCTGTTTTTAGTATATTGGGCTTTCCCCAAGCAGCCCAGGCTGCCAGGCAATGATTAATAACGTGGGTGGCCCTTTCTCCGGGTTCTGCCGAGGCAAACATAACCTGGGAGGCGGTATCTACCGAAACATGAACATATTTAAGTTTTCCGAATTCTGGGATGTGTGTAACATCCATTTGCCAAATATGATTTGGGCGAAGTCCTCTTGGGTTAATGCCAATAGATTGTTGGGGTGAAGAGATCACACAAGCTGGGCAATACCGTACAATCTCTCGTGCTTGTGCTCTCGTGATGTTGAAGCGCGCCATGAGGGTGCGGGCATTAACATGGAACTGAGAGTGGAATTTTTGGGCTGCTTCCAGAGGGTTGGGAAAGGTGAAGACCCATATCGGGCACGTGGCCGAGTCTGCCAAGGCATTGCCCTCCGCCAAGGGCCCAGGTAAATTAGTATGGGCTCTGATATGTGAGATGAACACTTTTGAGGTTCTATTCCATAGCTGATGTTGAATACCTAGGAATATGGAGGCTACCGTTGAAGAGGGTTTAATGGGACCCGCCGTCTCCAGAACTTGGAGAGCATTTACCACATACTTGGAGTCTGACAGGAGGTTAACGTCGCCTGGGAAGCGACGTAAGACTTCCTGTATTATCTGGAGCTCGACCACCTGGGGTTGGTCTGGAGTGAATTGGATAGTTTTTGGCTCTTGACCCATAACCACATATGCGCCTATGCCTGATTTGGAGCCATCCGTGAAGATTATTGGAGCTCCAGTTATGGGGTATGCGGATGTAACCTTGGGAAAAATCACAGGGTGTACTGTAATAAACTGAAGTAGTGGGTCTTTTGGGAATTATCTATGGTCCCTTGAAATGTACACCGGAGAATCGCCCAGGAATCTAGACATGTTGTTAAGGTCTCAATTTGTTCTCTTGTGTATGGTACATGTAGGGAGGAAGGAGGCACCCCAAAGTGTTGTATGGCTCGTGAGATGCCCTCTAGAGAAAGGGAAGCGACCGCGTCTGGATAATGGTCAATAGCCTTAGCAGGAGACATTTTTGGGTGGACCCAAAGCAAGGGTCCTTGCTGCCAAATGACAGCCGTAGGTTGTCTAGCTGTTTTGAGAACGCACAAGGCGAAGGTCTTTTCTGGATTAATACGCCTTAATGCGGCCGTGGTCAGAGCCCGCTCTACTGCTTGTAGTGCCACTTCTGCCTCCGGCGTAAGTTCTCGGGATGAATTTAAGTCAGGGTCTCCCTTAAGTAAGTCAAACAGGGGTTTTAATTTGCTGTTAGGTAAGGCCAAGTA